TCAGATACACTCAAGAGCAGACACAGAACACGCACACACCCGTGGGGCAGGCAGACACAGTGCAGCTGGACATGGGCAGTGGGCACCACAGGCACCAGGCCAGCCGCGTGCCAAGAGCCTTCGCAGGAACAAGGCCTGACCAGTCTTACTGGCTCAGAAGGGGTCTCTCCTTTTCCGCAGGTGGGGGACACTCATCTGTGACACTGAGGGGGCTGTTCCGTGTCCCCGCAGTGCTGGTGCACCCAGCTCCTACCCCCACATGCTGTGCACCCCCACCCCCCAGCAGGGGTTCCTCCCACACCCACAGGACGCCCCCAGGCTGTGGCCGTGCAGAGGCAGGAGAGGGCCTCACAGGGCAGCCTGCTGCCCCGCCATGGAGGTCCCTCTTCCACTCTGGGGCTCCTGGGACCTCTATGCTGACCCTTCTGCACCTGTACCCCTGAAGAGGGCAGCTCAGACGACCTCCCCCCCTAGGTGGGGTGAGTGGGCCTGGAGAGCTGACCCGGCAGTGTTCTGCAGAGGGGCACATGTCAACCAGATGCTCCACCCCTCAGACAGAACTGACAGAGGCCTCAGGGGGTCTTCAAGAAGTCTCTCGTCTCCTCCTCTCCCCATGAGGCCCCTGGCCCGGGCCAGGTCTCTCTCCTGAGCCCAGGACCCCTGAGCCACCCCGTTACGAGCACCTGCCCTGACTTCACACGCCAGCTGTGCTGCGGGGGAAACGGCTGGTTTTGTGCTAACTGTAGCTGAGGGCCCCTGACCCTGGGGAAGCCCCTACTACCTGGGGGGCTCAGAACCACAGGACACCACGGGAGGTTCTGGGCGGAGAGGGAAGGGGCCAGAACCATGCACATGGAAGCTGCTGGAAGTGGCCGGTCCTGGAGGAGAGACAAGCTCAGGACAGTTCCCCGAAGGACACTCACAGGTGCTCAGGGTCTGAGCTGAGGCTCAGTGCGGGTCGGCAGGCGGAGCCGCAGGTGTGCAGCCCCTCCAGCTGCTCTGAGCAGGCACCCAGGGCTCCCCGGCCCGCATCAGGGCAGCACCGGACTGCAGGATCAGCAGGCCTGGAGGAGGTGTCCCAGCCCCGGGGCCACCCAACAAGGAGGAAGGTGAACGGACGCCACCCTCCCTTACCCACAGCTGCGTGGACCCGGCTCCTTCTCACGGCCGCACAAGTGCAGGGGCATCTGTGCCTCTCAGCTGGGTGCTGCTCCTCGCGTGCAGAGGCTCGGGACGGGCAGCGGGGGCACTCTGCTGTCCCCGCCCGAGCGCTTCCGGGGCCTCCGTGGCTTCTGGGGCTGCCCTGTTGTGCCCAGGCTCTGGGGGGCCTCTCCCCCCGGCGCTGGCCTGCCTCACCCCGTCATGCTTGTGCCGCTTCATCCTGCAGGCCCACAAGCTCCTGGCCAGTGTCCGGGGCAGGGTTTCTGCCCTCCTGTCTCGGGTGGGGTTGGGTGGGGTGAGGAAACGGAAGCGGCTGTGGCGCTCCCTGCCCCAGTGGTGGCAACAATATAGCAGAACAAGGGCGGGCGCGGCTCTGCCCGCCGGTCGGTGCCCAGGACTCCAGCGTGCGAGTCACGGCATCACCCGGTGATCCACGGTGCCACAGGGAACCCTCCTCGCCCCGAGCGGGGTCCTCTCTGGGGCACAGCCCTCGTCTCGTCCCCGAGGAGGAGCCGGTGTAGCTCCCGCACCTCCCTGCAGACACGTGGCAGTTGCTGTGGGGACCAAGAGGGCCAGCCCGGCCCTGGGCTTAGGCTCCTGCTGAGGCGGCGCTTACCCCTGCTCGGCAGGGAGCGCTGCACCGGGAAGGGGGCTGCTGGCGGGGAGGAGGCCCCCAGGGTCGAGCAGCCAGGGCCAGGCCTCTCCCACAGAGGCTCCTGGTGGCAGAACTAGTCCTGATTCCGGCTCGTCCCAGGGGGCAGCAGCCCTGACTCAGGGGCACTCGGACCACTCAGGGCCACCCCAGATGCCTCTTCCCCCTCGTCCTCCATAGCACAGGTGCGCAGGGACCAAGTCCTCGTGAGTCTTCGAGGGTGAGAGGCGACATCGCACCCGGTTCTGGTCCCGCTGGGGCAAAGGGGCCTGGCTCCCCGGAAAGCTGCAAGTACAGACCCAGAGAACAGAAGTCAGGGGGCCGCGCCGGCTCGGCCGCGGGACGAGGTGCTGCAGGGACGGTGACCGGTGCCTACAGGAAGCGCTCCCTTGGGCATCTGCAGGCTCCATCCTGGGCCCGCTCGTCCCGCGTGCCCTGGTCTGCAGGTAGGGCTGCGGCCCTCCAGGCCAGCGCAGTCACTGTTGGCAGCGCCAGGCCCTCCCGACCATAGGAAAGCCATGATACAAACTTGCCCAGCACTGCTGGCCACGGAGCCACCGAGGCGGAGAGAGAAGCCCTCGACTCTGGCTCACGGCATGTTTCTCGTGCCCAGTGCTACCTGGGGGCCCCTTCTGCTTCTTCCCCGTGGGGCAGCTGCACCTGTGGCCCTCAGGGGGAGACTGATCTGACTCCAGGGCGGGACTTGTGGCTTTGGAAGGGCACCCCTGGGGTGGCCCCCGCTTCTCCAGCAGAGAGCAGACCCTCCCCGGAAGGCTCTGCCAGTGACATACTCACCGCCTCGGGGTGCCGAGATGAACTATGACCAGAGAATGAACGCTAGGGAGAAAAATAAGAACAAAAATAGAAACTGAAAGGGAGGGGAGGGTGGAGGAACGGAAGGAGAGAGAGAGAGAGAGAAGCGTTTGTCTTGTTTCTGACAAGAAACCCCGAGTGACGACAGACAGGACAGGCAGGGCTGGAGGCTTCGGGCAGCAGGTGTGGCTCAGGAGTCCGAGCGAATTCCCGAGAGACACATGGGAGCTGCGCTGTAAGCACTAGTCGGGGGCCCAGCCCCGTGAGGCGAGGCCTCAGGGCTCAGTTCCCCCCTGGGGCAGAACCACCCCCTCCTCCACCTGGCTTGGGATGGATGGCGAGAGACACTCCAGTACCCAGCGGCCACAAGCACTCAGAGACAGTACTTTGGTCTTGGTCTCATTATAAGGGATGAAGTACAACCAGGGCCCTGGACAAACAAGACGTGGGGCGTGGGGCGTGGGGCGTGGGGCGTGGGCTGGGCCAGCAGACATGCAGGAGAGAATCCAGCAGTGGTGCCACTGCTAGAGAACGATTCAAGGCACAATGGAAGGGTGGCTGTGAAAACACAATAAATGCCTCACTGAAGTTGTTCTCTTCGGAACAAAGGCCCTCATGTGAAGACGTAAAACGAGACCCTCGAGTCGGGGGAGATGTCGTGGAGGCTGAAGCCCAAGAAGCTGTGGCCCCTCCCCACTTGTCCAGTGCCCACAGGCAGACGGATCCGGCTGGGAATCCAACCGTGCCCAGCTCCTGGGCTCGTTCCTTGAGGCGATCTGAATAGATTTTCCCAGCAGAGGGCGCTAAAGAGGCTAGCGGGGGGGGGGGGGTTAGGTCATGGCCACGGAGGATTGGGGCAGGGCCCGTGTGGGCATGGGGAGGGAGAGTGACCAGTTGTATGAGAATTGTCCAAGAGCCGTGGCTGGCTCCTCCCTAGGCCAAGGTCAAGGACACGTGCACCACAGAAGTGTCCTGCGCAAGCATCAGCTTCCTGTTCTCTCCACGAGAGACAAGACAGGGAGGGGGGTGGGGCCCGCCAGCCAGCTCACTCAGAGCTCCACGGGGGCCGGCCACGGTGCCGACACCTGTCACAGGACACTCACGAGAGCCAAGCAAGCAGTGACCCCAGAATCACTGAAGCAGGTGCAAAGCCTGAGAAGGGGTGGCCCTAAGGGAAGCCAGACCCCACAGGAGATCAGGATGCTGTCCGGTGACCCCTGCACCTGGACTGGGCAGCGCCACGTCTGTCAACGTGCTCAGAGGCAGCCAGACGGCCCTCCCCCGCCTTGGGCCTGTGGCCCCCACCCAGGGGTTCTGAACCTGCAGGTGACTGCCTTACGGAGCAGAACGGAGGGCAGCCCCCAGCGAGAAGGCCCGGTCTGGCTCTCGGGGACTGGACCAGCAGGGGTGGTGCACGCGGAGGTGTCAGGCACAGCAACACAGCTCAGGCGTCGGCACCGAGTGGGACTCCAGGCCCCAACGCCGCGGCCTGACGCCTGCTTCTGCTCGCTGCCCCGGTCGGCAGGTGCCGGCTGCCGTCCTGAGTGGAGATCAAACCTGACGTACTTTACCTTCTCCTCCAGTTCCTTTATCTGCCTCTTCTGAGTCTCTATTCTCTCTTCCAACTCTTTAATTCTCTGCAGTGTTAAAAGGAGGACACATTCAGTACTTTCAGAATATGTGAGGAACCAGTGGGAAAAAGTCTTCCCAATTCGCCCCCGTTGATGGGTGGCAGTCAGGGGGTGGGGAGGGGTCCGTCCCACCCTTCCGCTTCCTGAAGCTTCGCATCAGGAAATCCCGATGTGCAGGACAGTGAGGGCCTCCCCAAGTCACCAGGGCAAAGCGCGGCCAGAGGCTCCCGACGGCCACGCCTGCGCCTGGGCCTGGAAGCAGCTGAAAGGTGCTCATGGTTCATCTGAAGGGAGCACGGGGGCTGCCAGGAGCCGTCCCTACGGGGCAGCACTGGAGCACGCCCTCTGCCAGACACCAGCAGATGGGCCTGCTGCCTCCCAGTCCGCCTGAACCTTGTGCGTGAGGCGTGCTCTTGGAACACGTCCATAACCCATTTGCAAGCCAGCCAGGCACACGCACAGCAGGGCTGTCCTCGCCTCCCACTAGGATGCAACTGACCCAATGCTGAGGTCCCAGGGAAGACCAGGGGCTGCCACCTGCTGGCCAGCTGTGGGCCCCAGGCAATGCCCTTGGGCATGGCCCCTGGAAGCAAGGCCATCGGATGGCTCTGCCACAGGAAGCCAGCCTGGTTGGTCTTTCTGCCTCATTCTCGCTGCCCCCGAAGCCGCCAGCCCACGCACCTGCTGTGCCAGCTGCAGCAGCTCCATGCGCTCCCGCAGGATCTGCGCATCCCGCTCACGCAGCTCGCTCATGACCTGGCGCTTCCACTGCTCCACAGCCACCTTGAGCTTCTCGCGCTCCTCCTCCGTCAGCAGCGTGGCCACTTTGGCCCCCGCCTCCTGCTGCAGGGCGTCGTACAGCATGGCTTCCAGCTCCAGGATGTGCTGAGGGCCGAGCAGAGGCACGCTGGTCCTCCCTCCTCCCAGGATGCACCTGCCTCACCCAGGGCTGCTCAGCACGGCCACAGAGGAGAGCAACCGGAGGCCGGGACAGCCGCCACGGGAGAGGGCAAGGTGGAGTGTGCCACAGCTGGGAGCCACAGTGCTCCTGTGGATTTCTGGGGAAGGCCCTGGAACCCAGACGCTCCCATCTGCGAGAAGACCCTCACATAGAAGCCCCCCAGATCAGGGCCGATGCTGGATACAGAGGCTGGGAAAGACCAGCGCCTGTGCAGCCAGTGCGGGAGCCCGGGGGTGGGGCGACCAGGAAGGGTGGAGCAGGGGCGGCCCCTCCGCTGCACAACAAGCCCTGTGCGGGTGAGAAGGCACCACGCGGGTGAGGGCGATGCCCTTGCTAGGAGGCACACGGCAGTTACAAACCCCCGGAGGCTGCCCGTCCATCTGCAGAACCACAAACGCCATCTCTGGGGAACTGCAATCTTGGAGAGAGACAAATCCTGTTACAGAATTCCTTTCCCCCCATCAAAACTGTGGCATCTTCAGACGTGAACGCTTCCTTTTCCATGGGCAAAGTGACTCTGAAAATCCTGTTGCCAGCAGACATTCCACAAAATAAAAGCCCTTTTGGCCACACTTACATCTTATCATTCTTGACAGGCACACCACACACTGTCCCCAGCTGTCACAACCCTCCCACGCTCCCACGTCAGCTGTCACTTCCAGGAGCTGAAGAACTGGGTGCACCTAAGAGAGACCACGCTCTAACAATCACCAGCAGAGTCTGGACCAGGAATTAGCATCCCCAAAGAAGGCCACCTGGAGGAGGCCACTCTACGGTCTCGCCCGGCCTCTGCCCTGGCCGCCCGAGGAAGCAGCCTTTCTCCTTCAGCACCTCGGGTGCTCAGCTCAGAGCAGCCCGTGTAGGAAAACCCTGGGTGCCCCCAGACCACAGCGCACCTGTGGGCGCCGTGCACTAGGTCGTGTGGCCCTCAAAGCGGACAGAAGCTATAGTGCAGAAACAAACATGCAATGAGTTATGTAAGACTCAGGATAAAACACACAATGGTGGCACGGCAAATAGGGCAAGTTCTGTGTGGGAAGAACTACAGGAAGACCCCGGCCCACAGCACCCCACACGGAGAGCACAGCCAAGTCCCACACAGGGAGACCCCTCCACCCACACAGGCCGCACAGCAACACAGCAAAGACCCACAGCACTGCACAGGAAGACCCCACAGGATCACATAGGAAGACCCCTCAGAGTACCACCCAGAACCCGCCCCTCCACAGCAACACGCAAAACACTCCTGATAGCGCCACACAGGAAGGCACCCCCACCACACAGGAAGTGACCCCAGAGCACCACAGAGGTCAACACCCTCCAAGCATCACAGAGGAAGACCCAAGTGTCACACAGGAAGATCCCTCACAGCACCAAACAGGAAGTCCCCCCTAAGAACCACTTAGGAAATGCCTCTCACAGGGCCACCCAGGAAGTGTCCTCACAGCCCACACAGGAAGTGACCTCACTGCACTACACTGGAAGTGTCCCCACAGCCCACACAGGAAGTGACCTCACAGCCCACACAGGAAGTGTCCTCACAGCCCACACAGGAAGTGACCACACAGCCCACACAGGAAGTGACCTCACAGCCCACACAGGAAGTGTCCTCACAGCACACACAGGAAGTGACAACACAGTACACATAGGAAGTGACCTCACTGCCCCACACAGGAAGTGTCCTCACAGCCCACACAGGAAGTGTCCTCACAGCCCACACAGGAAGTGACCACACAGCCCACACGGGAAGTGACCTCACAGCACACACGGGAAGTGTCCTCACAACTCCACACAGGAAGTGTCCTCACAGCCCACACAGGAAGTGTCCTCACAACCCCATACAGGAAGTGACCTCACAGCCCACACAGGAAGTGTCCTCACAGCCCACACAGGAAGTGTCCTCACAGCCCACACAGGAAGTGACCACACAGCCCACACAGGAAGTGACCTCACAGCCCACACAGGAAGTGTCCTCACAGCACACACAGGAAGTGACAACACAGTACACATAGGAAGTGACCTCACTGCCCCACACAGGAAGTGTCCTCACAGCCCACACAGGAAGTGTCCTCACAGCCCACACAGGAAGTGACCACACAGCCCACACGGGAAGTGACCTCACAGCACACACGGGAAGTGTCCTCACAACTCCACACAGGAAGTGTCCTCACAGCCCACACAGGAAGTGTCCTCACAACCCCATACAGGAAGTGACCTCACAGCCCACACAGGAAGTGTCCTCACAGCCCACACAGGAAGTGTCCTCACAGCCCACACAGGAAGTGTCCTCATAGCACATGAAGACCTCACAGCCCACACAGGAAGTGTCCTCACAGCCCACACAGGAAGTGACCACACAGCCCACACAGGAAGTGACCTCACAGCCCACACAGGAAGTGTCCTCACAGCACACACAGGAAGTGTCCTCATAGCACATGAAGACCTCACAGCCCACACAGGAAGTGTCCTCACAGCCCACACAGGAAGTGACCACACAGCCCACACAGGAAGTGACCTCACAGCCCACACAGGAAGTGTCCTCACAGCACACACAGGAAGTGACAACACAGCACACATAGGAAGTGACCTCACTGCCCCACACAGGAAGTGTCCTCACAGCCCACACAGGAAGTGTCCTCACAGCCCACACAGGAAGTGACCACACAGCCCACACGGGAAGTGACCTCACAGCACACACGGGAAGTGTCCTCACAACTCCACACAGGAAGTGTCCTCACAGCCCACACAGGAAGTGTCCTCACAACCCCATACAGGAAGTGACCTCACAGCCCACACAGGAAGTGTCCTCACAGTCCACATAGAAGTGACCTCACAGCACACACGGGAAGTGACCTCACAGCCCACACAGGAAGTGACCTCACAGCCCCACACAGGAAGTATCCTCACAGCCCACACAGGAAGTGACCACACAGCCCACACAGGAAGTGACCTCACAGCCCACACAGGAAGTGACCTCACAGCACATGAAGACCTCATAGCCCACACAGGAAGTGTCCTCACAGCACACACAGGAAGTGGCCACACAGCCCACACAGGAAGTAACCTCACAGCCCACACAGGAAGTGTCCTCACAGCACATGAAGACCTCACAGCCCACACAGGAAGTGTCCTCACAGCACACACAGGAAGTGTCCTCATACACAGGAAGTGTCCTCATACACAGGAAGTGTCCTCACAGCCCACACAGGAAGTGACCTCACAGCACACACAGGAAGTGTCCTCACAGCCCACACAGGAAGTGACCTCACAGCACACACAGGAAGTGTCCTCACAGCCCACACAGGAAGTGACCTCACAGCCCACACAGGAAGTGTCCTCACAGCACATGAAGACCTCACAGCCCACACAGGAAGAGGCTTTTCTGAAAGCATCACACAGCATTTTGCATCCTATGGGCTACCTTGCTGCTCCACAGTGGCCTTTTTGGCAGGGCTGGGCCAACTGAGACACTGACCCTCTGCTGTGCTTGACAGCATAGGTGCGGCCTCCATGGTGGTGACACAGTTGTGCTCTGGGAATGCTGAGGTGGCTCTGATTGGACCTTCTGGAAGTTCTATGGATGCTGAATTTCCAGCCACGTGAGGTCCATGATCATTAGAACCCACGGGCAGTGGGCCAGCGTGTGCAGTTAGGGCCTACTCACCAATTCAGCTTGTGTTCCGTCATGCCACTCACAGGATAACCCTCCTACCTCCAGAGGGATTCTGCCTGTGACGCTGCCTGAGATGGAGTCTCTCTCCCAAGTGAGGGCTCTTAAGTGACATCAGAGCAGAAAGGGAGGGGGCTGAAGACATGCAGTCAGAGGCCGGCCATCATCTGGGAGCTGCGTGAAGCTCAAGTTCCTCTTACTATCTCATCCCACCTTCACCCCAGTAATGCAGACAGAAAGCATTGGAAATTTTTTGGTATAACCTTGGGAAGGAAATTTCCAAAACCATAAATCATGAAATCTAGAGGCCACCAATCTTGTAAATATTACGAAAATTCTGCTCAGCCCCCAAAACAGCAGTCAAACTCAAACTCTGGGAGAAATACCTGCAGTGGACAACAGGCTGTTTGCCTCAATGTACCAAGAGCTCTGACAGGCCTGTGAGAAGGCCGACTACACAACACGAAGCGGGCAAAGGGTGTGAGCTGAACGAAGGGTGAGAACAGACACGGCGCAGTCCAACCCAACGTACTCCACTCGACCTTCCTGGGAGACAACCCTCGGAGTCAGCTTTCAAAAACCCCCCACATCAGCCTTTGCTTACACTCAGCTTGCGGTACAACTGTGCCGAGTACACAGGGACCAAAGTGAGGCTTCCTACCGACGGCTTCCTGCTGACCTTTTGGCCAAGCCAAAGAACCTTTCCCACAGAGAGATGCTCGCACCTGCACACAAGACTGGGCACAAAGTATTGCGGCACTGTGGACGGCGAACACCGGGACACAACCCAACACCCACAGCCTGGGACGAAGGACCACGTGAGCTGTGCTCACATCAAGTTCCTGTTCTCACAGCTGGGGACTGCCCTCCCGTCGACGGTGGTGGGAAAAGCCACCGGGCATCTGTGGGTGCAGTCGCTGCTGCTCAGGTGTTAAGGACGCCTGTGGGAAAACACACGTCACGGGGACCCCAGCATCTCCTGGAAGACACCACGGGCTGCTGCGAGGTGTGCCCTGTCACTGGGGTCCCAGGGGAGTGGAGCAGGGGTGCAGGGAGGCATCCTCTTGCACGCCCCGAGCACTCGGTGGTGACTATTCTAAGGACTTCTAGAGAGCAGGCTGAGAGTAAGTGTAAGACGACCAGTCTTGGCAAGTGGTGAAAGCACACAGGTGCCTATTCTGAGGAGCCCTGAGAGAAGCGGAGAGAGCAGAATTCCAGTCTTCCTCTGGATGCTGGGCACGTAATGAACTTCTCCTCGTCCCTCTTACTTACTGGTTTGGTGTACTGTAGAGCAGTTCCATGTTTACGACCCCTTCCACTCAGAGAACCAACATGAAAGAACTGATGCCCTTCCTTCTCCTCCCTCTCCTGGCTTTCACAGTCCTCACCTTCCACACCTCAGTCTGCGCCTTTTCTCCTTCACCCACTCAGCACCGCTGTGCACCTGCTGCTCGCCAGGCATCATGCAGGCCTAGAAGACCAGCTGGTGGCAGTGGGCACGGCCCCTGCCTGCCTAGTCAGGGAGAGGCCATCCCATCTGCGTTTTGCTCAGGGCGTCCAGCTGAGGCTAGAGAAGGCTTCCTAGCAGCAGTGATGGGCTAAAACTGGAAGTCAGCAGGGATAGGCACGAAAAGGCGTTCCCGGGGGAAAGAGCAGGGACAGCGGCCGGGGCCCTGTCCCTTAGCCTCGCGTGGTGCCAGCCCTACAGCAGAAATGCCACTTGGATAAGGATCCCAGGTCCCAGCCCTCGAGACTCATGCAGGAATGTGGGCCTTGATGGCGGCAGAGCGCTGTTCTGGAGGGTTCTTTGCCATCCAGCAGAGGAGCCTGTCTGTGCCGGGGAGTCACACAGACAGAAGGTTATCACCACCACTATTAGCAAAAGCACCATTATCACCACCACCACCACCACCACCACCACCACGACCATGGTCACCATTCTGAGAGCTCCCAGCCTGAGCTGGGACCTGGGAATGAGCATTTTCAGTTCAGCCAGCCTCGCTGTGTCTAAGCAGCTCAAGCAGATCTTCTCGCAGGCGTAAGGGCCAGGGCCCTGACTACTGGGCTGGGTGCCCTGGTGAATGTCTTGGTGGTGACCCTTGTCCACCCATCATCACAAGCCTGAGCAGTCCCGGAGATACCTTCCTGCACGTGGGACACAGACATTGCTGTGTCACCAGAGCGCTGGGATGGTGACTATGGTGGGGGGTCAGGGGCACCTGCCAGCTCCCACCCAGAGAACCCTGTTCTCAAATCTGGTTTTCAAGCTGGAAACGCGCCCTGCTCATCCCTGGAGCTGCTGTTGTACCTGCCACACACGAAGCTGCTGCAGCCTGTGGATGGTCACTGCCACATCTTGTGTCACGTGGGCAAGGGAGGCACCAGTGACCACGGCTCCCCATTCCTGCCCTCGTCTCACTCGTCCCCGGGAGGTGCCCCCACCCCAGGCAGCAGAGCCTCTCTGGCCTCATGAGCCACAGCGGCACAGCAAGAACAGCAAGCTGCCAGCCTCCAAGCTGGGCAGCCACGGCCACCGCTGACTAAGCCACTGCGACCCACCATCCACACGACAATTATCCTCCTCACAACCCCAGAAGGTGGGAATCAGTATCTCCGTTAGGTCTCGTGGCCGGCGGCCAGCCAAGACCAGAGCATCGGGCAGCAGCCCACCTGCTCCCCACGGCTCCTCAGGCCAGCCTGAGCTGCTGGCAACATGGCCTGGCATCTGCCTTGAAGGCTCCAGCCTGCAGGCTGACGTTAACAAACGGCTGTGGCCGATGGCCAGAGAGGAAGCCCTTGGGGGCCTCCCAGCTGTCCGCGAGCTTCAGAGCTGGGATGCGAAGGCTCAAAGAGCACAAAGCTTCTTTTCGCGTTCACAAAGGGATCTCAGCGGGAGCTAAGGCGGCTGGCAGGAGCCAGTGCTGCTGCATCCTGCAGTGGTTCAGGTCCTGGAGTGGGCCCAGTGTGGTGGCGTGGAGGTGGAGCCCACGGGAGGCGCCTTGGTCACCAGAAGGGATGAACGCAGTTCTCACTGGACCACAGTTGGGCCTGAAGCGGGAGCCTGCGTCCCCTGGCTCCCTGTCTGGCAGGGAAAGCTGCTATCACAGAGGGAGCCTGCGTCCCCCGGCTCCCTGTCTGGCAGGGAAAGCTGCTATCACAGAGGGAGCCTGCGTCCCCCGGCTCCCGTCCAGCCACAGCCTGGTTGTGCGTCCTTGCTTCTTCACACCTCTTGCAGCTAGCACTGCGCATTCTGTCCCGGCCACAGGAAACAGACTAACACAAGCGTCCAGCGAGAATCCCAGAGACATTGGAGGAAGCACAAAGGCATGCGGTGGGAGCAATGGCCTCCCGAGGGGCAGGCAAGCGCGTGGCCCAGGTGAGACTTGCAGGGCTCCGCCTGCTATCACTTGGGAACTCCCGCCGTGCTCAGTCAGCTCACAGGAGCACAGTCTCCTACCCCTCAGCGTGCACACTCACGGGAGTTCTGCCTGGGCGCACACTCCTGAAGTTCAGCATTTACTGATGGGGCAGGAACGTGTCCCCCAGAATCCACCATGCAGGAGTGAGGGGTCTTCATGGAGAGAAGGCAGAGAGTGCCCCACACCGAGCCCGCGGCCTCCCAGCAGGACTCAGCCTCGGTGCACCCCGGCACACCCCGGCACCTGGACACTCCACTGGGCACTGAACAATTCACCTGTTTGTCCCACACCTGCCCGCTCTGGGGTTCCACAGCCTTCTCTCCCCTACCTTGTGGGCTTGGTCCAATGACTGCTTCCTGTAGTCCAGCTCCTCGTCCAGGTAGCCCTTCTGTTTGCTGAACAGCTCCTGAACACAAGAGGACCCGTGTCAGCCTCCGGCGCCTGACCGGACAGCATGCGCACACTCCAGGGCCACGGGGGAAGCCCACCCACCTTCTCCTGCTCCAGGTCCGCCATCTTCCGCTGCAGCGCCACCTCTGTCTCCTCGATCTGCTGCAGCCACTGGGCAAATAGAAGGCAGGTGCCACCAGGGGCCACACGCCCTCTGGCCCCCACGTGGGTTCTGATTCCACCCCCTCCCGGTTCCCTGGGCACAGCCTGGGGCAGGGGGAGGTCCTTGCTGAGGGTCAGGGCTGGCTGGCACCGTGAATGCAGCCTGAGCACTCACCCGTGTTTCCCTGGGCGAGGAGGGACCCTGGCGTAGGGAGCAGGGTTCTGCCAGGAAGGGCAGAGGTGTGGCCTGGTCCCCTAATTGCCAGGGCACTCCCCCTGGTGGCCGGGCAGGATCCCCAGGAGGGTCTTGTGGGTCAAGCAGAAAATGCTAATGGCTTCAGGCCCTTTCCCCCTCTGGGAGGAAATGGAGGCAGAGTTGGTGTCTTGACAAGATCTGGCCGAATCCTGGCAAGGATGCTCAGTACGCACCATTCGACCTGTCTGTGCCAGATCCCCTGAGGCAGCCAGGACTCAGTGTGTCCCCTCTGCCCTACAGCCCCCTCCTCCCAGAAAGGCGTCTTCTGAGCTGAGCCAGGGGACCCAAGGCACTCAGCCCTCTCCTGGGCGTCTGTGCAGCTGCTGTTACCTTCTCGGCCAAGGTCAGGACTGTCCTGGCTTGAATGACAACCACCTGCTCCTCGTTGGTCAGGTTCTACAGGGAGAAGCAGAGCAGGGGTGAGGTCAGAGGCTGCCCCAGGGCAGGGTGGGTGCTGAATGACAGATGCAGGTGAGTATGATGGGGAGGGGCTACAGCGCAAGATGCTTGGACTGAAACACCCTTCCCACACTCTCACGTGCTCTCTCTGGGGCTCCGTTCATTTCCTCTTCTTCAGGATGGTCCTTCACCAGCTGGGCCACCTAACATGTGGGGGCCACACCCAGTAACAAGTGCTTCCTGTCTCCCCCGCCCCAGCTCTGTTTGAAGCCAGGCCTCTGCAGACACAGCGCGGGGAGGAGAGGCAGCGCTCCTGCTGTGAAACGGCGCTGGTCCCTGGCAGTTTCTTTCTCTGCATGTTCATCCATGCTTCATCTCAAGGGCCCACGGGTGTCCTGCTTGGCAGGGTGTTCCTCTGGGACCCCACTGAGCACCCCTGGGCGATGCAGGCCCCTCCTATGCTGAGCCCTGGCTGCTACCTGCCCGGCACCAACTCACGGGACAGCCCGGAGCAGGAGAGGGCACGAGGAACAGAGGCTGGAGCAGGGAGGGGCCTGCCTGGAGCACTGCTGCACAGGAAGTCCCCACTGCCCCTAGAGCCTACCTGGGTCAGAACCGGGTCACTCAGAAAACCCTGCATGTCCGATTCTCTCCCCAGACAGCGGCTCCCTGAGAGTGGCCATGAGCCCTCAAAGTCAGCATGTGGTCTCCCACTCAGAGCTGATGACCAACGACTACACACACAGAGGCAGACTCTACCCACAGGGCAAGTGCACCCCCAAAGTGGATGGCATTGCATTTGAGCCCCATCCTGCTGGGGACGGCAACCACTGGGCTGGGAGGAGCCCTAAAGGAGGACTGAGCGGAGCTGGCCTCGCCCTGACTCTGCCACTGCGTTGGCTCTGTGGCCCAGGCAGGTGCCTTCTGGAATGTGTCTCTCAAGCTGTGAATCTGGGGGTTGCCCAATATGGTTCTCAAGAGCCTGTGATGGGACTATATCTAGGGCTGGCTGCTGCTTACGTCACCAACAGCATCCTTGCGGTGGGGGGGGCTTCTGCCACCTGTTGCCAGGAAGAAGCCACTAGGTGAGCGAGGGGCAGACAGAAGAGCCCCCTGCTGGAAGCCTTGCCCTGCTCTGCTCCTACAGACCCCCAGGTGATGAGCAGGCACGTGAAGAAGTGACTCCTGTCAACACAAGACCCTGTCTGAGGGCACAGAAGAGGTCGAGTGTGGGCAACTGGGTGGATGATGGACAGGTGGCTGCATGAAAGATGGATATACGGATGGATAACACATGAGTGGATGACAGATGAGGGTGGGTGGAGGACAGAGGAGGCATGATGGATGGATGCACAGATAGAGAGGTAGATGGATGGACACATAGATGGAGAGATGGATGGATGGATGCACAAATGGAGAGGTGGATGGATGGATGGATGGACGCATAGATAGATGGATGGATGGATGGATGGATGGATGGATGGATGGAAGGATGGATGGATGGATGGATGGATGGAGAGGTGGATGGATGGATGGATGGATGGATGGATGGATGGAGAGGTGGATGGATGGATGGATGGATGGATGGAGAGGTGGATGGATGGATGGATGGATGGAGAGGTGGGTGGATGGATGGATGGATGGATGGATGGATGGAGAGGTGGATGGATGGATGGATGGATGGAGAGGTGGATGGATGGATGGATGGATGGATGGATGGAGAGGTGGATGGATGGATGGATGGATGGATGGAGAGGTGGATGGATGGATGGATGGATGGAGAGGTGGATGGATGGATGGATGGAGAGGTGGATGGATGGATGGATGGATGGATGGAGAGGTAGATGGATGGGTGGAGAGGTGGATGGAGAGGTGGATGGATGGATGGATGGATGGAGAGGTGGATGGATGGATGGATGGAGAGGTGGATGGATGGATGGATGGATGGATGGAGAGGTGGATGGATGGATGGATGGGTGGAGAGGTGGGTGGATGGATGGAGAGGTGGATGGATGGATGGATGGATGGATGGATGGAGAGGTGGATGGATGGATGGATGGATGGATGGATGGAGAGGTGGATGGATGGATGGATGGATGGAGAGGTGGATGGATGGATGGATGGAGAGGTGGATGGATGGATGGATGGATGGATGGAGAGGTAGATGGATGGGTGGAGAGGTGGATGGAGAGGTGGATGGATGGATGGATGGATGGAGAGGTGGATGGATGGATGGAGAGGTGGATGGATGGATGGATGGATGGATGGAGAGGTGGATGGATGGATGGATGGGTGGAGAGGTGGGTGGATGGATGGATGGATGGATGGAGAGGTGGATGGATGGGTGGAGAGGTGGATGGATGGATGGATGGATGGAGAGGTGGATGGATGGATGGATGGAGAGGTGGATGGATGGATGGAGAGGTGGATGGATGGATGGATGGATGGATGGAGAGGTGGATGGATGGATGGATGGATGGAGAGGTGGATGGATGGATGGATGGATGGAGAGGTGGATGGATGGATGGATGGATGGAGAGGTGGATAGATGGATGGATGGATGGAGAGGTGGATGGATGGATGGATGGGTGGAGAGATGGGTGGATGGATGGATGGATGGATGGAGAGGTAGGTAGATAGATGGATGGATGGATGGATGGATGGATGGAGAGTTGGGTAAGTGGATGATGAATGCTAGAGGATGGGTGGAAGGATGGAGGGATGGGCAGAGGAAGGGAGGGTGGATGGATGGAAGATGACAATGACAGTTGCAGATGGAAAGACGGATGGACAGAGGACACATGGTGGATGCACGGCTGGATGGAGAACACATGGACAGGCTGGTGGATAGATGAGTGGAGGAATGGACAGAGGACACAGATGCACGATGGATGGAGAATGAGCAGCTGGGGGGATGGATATTTGGATGGGGGATGGATGGATGGGGGATAGCTGGATGGCAGAGACAGAGACAGAGAATGGAAGGATTTGGGAATGAAGGGATGTTATTTCACCCACTTGGCAATTAATTTTCTTTTGAGGCATTTTTCACAGAAATCGGAACTCTGATTCAGTGGTTGTCTGGGGACTCTGCTTCTTCCCCAAAACCAAGGGAGTGGGAGCCCTCAGGGAGCCATAAACAGCAGCCCCCTCCCCTCTGAGGTGCGGAGGAGCTGACAGACGGACAGGGATTCGGACAGGGAGCACGTGTCCAGGGAGTCGGAGGCTGGAGGGCCAGGTGGGCACTTGAGCAGCGAGACAGCAGCAGGTCCCTCCCAAACGTGGGGCCCACTCCAAGCAGACTGGGCCACGGGAGGGTCCTGTGGCGGCACTGCAGAGGGGCTCCCGGGGCGCCGGGCCCAGGGCTGGGGCAGGGGCGGCATGAGAGGCATGCACAAGTCAGGAGAGCAACATACACTTACGGCGTTATCCCCCAGGATGTCCAGCTTCTTCATCAGCTCCGGGACCACGATGTCCTAGGAGGCAGAGGCAACAGGCAGCAGTGAGCCACAGCGGGCAGGCGGGGCAGGGTGGGGGGCGGGGTGGGGCGGGGCTTTACCGTCACGCCTTCGGCCTCACAGTACACCTGCAGGGGGCTCTTCCCATCCACGAAGGGTGTATGGTGGAAGGTGATGGCCGGCGACTTCCTCTCCCTCTCCTAAGACAGAGCAAAGGCTGGGCACTGGACATTCCCTTCCCATCCCCCACCTCCGCAGAGCCATGCCAGGACCCAGGGCCACCAAGAGAGGGGTCAACAGGTGTAGTGGCAGAAACCTCACTGTCCCTAAAGACTGCCCCAGTGTGCTCACTGGCCCGGCTGGGCCATGTGACGTCCGGCTCCACAATGTCCCAGCCAAGTGGCACTGAGCAGGCCCAGCCCCACCGGGACCGGCAAACCCATCTGTGAACCCACGAGGCTTCGGAAGAGTCAGGGCAAGTGGTGCCCACGGCCCCCTGGTGACACCGGCTGCTGGTCCTGCCTGGCCCTCGCAGGAGCCCAGGAAGCCCGGTGGGAGTGGCTGCTCCCCTACCAGGAGGCCGACAGGAGGGCTCTGAGAGGTAGATCCATCTAGATCCGGAGTGTGCTTCACCCCGCTGCACGGAGGCAGAGGTGCTGGTGGGGAGGGGAGGGGTGGTGCTGACCAGCGGGGTGACACCTGCGTAGCCACTTCCTCTTGGCCTTGTGCTGCGCACGCTGCCCTAACACCATAGCACAGTGACACAGTGACACTCTACACAGTGACATAGCTGTGCACACCTGGCCTGTCCGTCACAGCAGCATGCTTATCCCCTGCCCTCCCTCTACAGGCTGTGGCCAGGGATGGAGAGCAGAGGCAGAATCGGTGTCTGCTGGGCCAACTCTGGGGGCACCGTCCTTGCCACTCACCGCCACTGCCACAGCTGCCACCCCTGCCCTCACCATTCCTGCCCCGGTCTGCGCTCAGCCTGTCCTCCAAAACCCACGCCAAGATCTTGCTGTGTAACAGCGTCTGGCACTGAGACACTGCCGCATCTGTCTGTCGGAGTGCCGGGGTGGTCTCGGCTCTGGCTCCTGACTCCACCTTCCTGTAATGTGGCCCCTGGGAAACAGCGGGTAATGGCTCAGGTGCTCGAGCCCCTGCCATTCCACAAGCAGGACCCGGACTGAGTTCCCAGGTCCTGGCTTTGACTTAGCCCAGCCCCATAAGCAGTCAAGCAGGTGGGGGCTTCCTCTGTCTGTTTCTTTCAAATAGAGATGAATGGAGGAATGAACGAGGCCTCTGATGGGGCCAGATGGCTCTGCCCTCGTGGTGGGCCTGGGGTTCTTCCTGCTTCCTGCCCCCTTGCCTCTGCCGTGGGGTGACGCAGCCTGGCGTGGTGCCGCACCTTGGTCCTGGCTCCCCAGCCTCGAGATGCGCTCTCTGTACACGACCCAGCCTGGGCGGCGCTAAGCCGCGGCCCCGCAGCGTTCCTTTCCCTCTCACGACACCAGGTCCCAGGGTACCCGGCCCGCCCGGGAGACGGCCGTTCTGCTCGGCTGGCCAGTCCTCGGTGGGCCTCTGGCACCTCATCCCTGTCCTTTGCAGCCTGGACTTTGGGCTATCTGTTCGAAGGCTCAGGCGACTCAGGAGGACCCAGGGCTCAGCCCTGAGGCAGTCCCTGAGCCTGGGGGTGACCACAGGGTGGGGCTGGGACCCACAGCCCCCACCTCAAGCTCCAGGACCCTGAACTCCAGCAGCTCGTTCTGGTCCTTGGCGTCCTGCACCTCGTGTTTCAGCCGAGCCTCTTCCGCCTCCATGTGCTTAATCTGTGAGAGAAGACGATGAGGTGAGACAGCCACGCTCTCTTGCTAGGTCAGTCCTGGCCGGCTGCCGGCTGCCGGCTGCCGGCTGCCCAGGCCTAGAGCGCTCAGCCGGCCAGCCGCGCTCCCTCAGCAGTCAGCCGCGGGGAGGCCGGGCAGGCCTCTGCTGTGGGCAGCCAGGGCCATGTGGTGGGCAGGGGCTCGAGCCCAGCCCGACCTTCGGAGCAGGGGTGGGGAAGGGGGCTGCCCAGGGCAAGGCAGCGCCTGCGGCTCCCTGGCACTACTGGAGACAGGCTGGCCCAGAACCGGAGGGTCACTGCTGCCCGATGACCACTGTCCCGGCCTGGCTAATTAAGGAGTGGCAAAACCCACCAGCAACAAGCGAGCTCGCGGCACGTGTCCCCAGCAGCAGGAGGAAGGGTGTCCACCAGGGGCAGAGTGGCATGCAGGCCCCAAAGCCGACTTCGGGAGCCCAGGGGACGGAACCCGGAGCACCAGCATCCTTTGACTGAGCTGGCTCAGGCAAGCACCGGGCCTTCCACAGGGCCTGCGGCCCTACCAGGGCCTGCAGGGCCAAGAACCTGACCCTGGGTCGCCACAGCCAGACGGCAGCCAGGCTTTGAGTGTGTGTGCCTTCAAGTGTGCATGGGCCATGACAGGGCCAGAGTGGGCTTTGAGCCTCCCACTCTGCACCCGCTCTCACAGGTCTGAGCCCTGTCCCCCATCTGGGATGGTCCCGAACTGCTCCGATCTCAGAGCCGTCTGCAGTCTAAGCCGAGTGCTGTGAACCCTGCGCTGAACACAGGCTGCAAGGTGGGGCTGACTCAAGGGGAGGGCATGACTCACGGGCAGGTGCGCTGCTCTGGCCCCTCCTGTCACCAGGCCCTGGGGAAGGCCCTGGGCACCAGCCAGAAGCCAAGGCCACTAAGGAGAGTACCGGCTGTAGACCACGTCTTCTGGTCCATTCTACACAAGGCAGCACCACTGGGGGGGGGGGTGGCGCAGAGGCCACAGCACTTCTGGAGCTTCTTGTCCAGAGGCCAACAGGACCCACACCCACGGCCACTGCCGGGCGAGGCCACATTGAGTCAGACACAACTACGACCGTCTGGGGTGGAATGCAGGCCTGGCCTGAGGACCACCAGCCTTTACGACAAACAGGGAGGTGCATCTCCTGGCTTCAAAAGGGCAATGCGTTCACAAAGCTTCCTGCACCGGCCCCTTCCAGGGAACCCAGCAGCACAGCAGGGCGCACGTGGACACACAGCTCAGACACAGGCTCTGCTGGCCCCAGGGGAACAGGGCCCAGCGCCCCCCACCTCCCCCAGGCAAACTCATCTCCAGGACCAGGGAGATGACAGCAACCTGCCCAGGGCTCTGGCAGAGCCACAGTTCTTGGGATGGGGCCGACAGGGACCTACCCACCAGCCCTGGGGGCCTGCACCCCCCATGTGAGCACGTGGCAAGTTGCACCAGCTTGCGGGAGGGAGGGGAATGGTTGGGGAGGGGCTTGGGCCATACCTTTTCTACCAGTTCTTGATTTCTCCTATACAGTGCTTGCTTCTCTTCAATCCACTTCATATCCTTGAAAAGGAAATGGTAAAGCCAAAGAAAATCGTGAGCAGAGACTGCCCCCTCAGGGCGCGGCTCCCGGCTGTGGAGGTGAGTGTTCAGGTCCCACTGATTCAGAGACCATTTCCTTGGAGGATCCTGGATGAGGGAGATGGAGCAGCCCAGCCTCAGGAGTACCGCTTGGGGATGCTGCCCCTTGTGGACAGCACCCCAGGCTCAGTGAACAGGCCAGGTACTAAGGAGCACCTGGCTTGGTGTGGTGCCCCAGGTGCAGGGGACCCTGACCCAGGGCTCACTGGCAGAGGTCCCTCGGGGTGCAGTTCCTCTCACTCCATACTCAGGACCCAGGCTCTGTGCTGCTTCCAGCACAGGACGTGTAGAAGCCTCACTGAGCTCAGCTCAAGGCCCGGGCTGGGAGGACGCCTGCTGTCAGCACACTCACACCGGCCTTGGGGGCTGGAGCCCTGCTGGGGGAAGCCGGAGGGCACAGGCCCTGGACTTCACCTCAGGTTCCTTCTCTGCAAGGTGTGCACAGAGCCCTTGTCGAGTCCGAAGGGCTCACTTCTGCAAACAGAGGAAGTGGGCTTCTCCTCCTCCTTCCCCTCCCCTCCCCCTCCCGCCAAGGGTCACTTCCAACGGCACAGCCTGTGAAACACACTTGAGGGGCCTTGGGTGCCTCACTGTGACACGGGGCTGTCAGTCCACAGGTGCTGCCACACCCACAGGCCTGAGTGCACGCGGCCCTGGGCGTGGGCAGCACAGTTTGGTGTGTACAGGTGAACAGTCACAGGTGGTGCAGCACTGAATTCTGGGAGGCTGACAGTGCAGCACAGTGGAGCTCACATTGTCCCCTTGCCTGACCACACGGTCAAGGACCACGAGGGCCAGGCTAGGCGGCTGGGGCCAGGAAGCGTGTCCTTGCTCCCAGAGCAGCCACACACTTGCCCCCCCCATCACAGACGTTCACCAGCCTCAGCCAGGCTCCAGCAGGGCAGAAGGAGCAGTGGGATGTGGCCGTGTGGTATCTGAAGAGCACAGAGGTGCTGGTACTTTAGGGATGGAGGGAAGTGACCGTCACGCTCCTGGACAAGCACCCACTGCCTCTGGTGCAAACTTTACCACCTGGAGGATGGGTTTCCAGGAGAAAATCAGACAGAGGTGGCCGCAGTACTTTCTTCTGGGGCTGGACAGGGGCCACAGGGTCTGAAGGCCTGGCCCTGACTCAGACAACTGAAAGGATCTTCCCAGGCCAAGCCAGGGGCCTGCCAAGGTCAAGGCCAGGAGAGGCCTGTCCTGCAGGCAGGCTTACTCCTGCCCGTCCAGGCAAGAGCTCCTCCCAGATTTGAGGACCCTGATGCTGTGTGATGTGTACAAGCCTGGCCCCTCCAGGCCACCTGCCCCTGGGGACGCTCACCTGCCCTTGCTCGGCCAGCGCCTTCTCCAGGTCCTCCACCTGCGCCTGGGCTCTCTGCACATCGGCCTGCAGCTGTTCCCGGGTCTGAAGAATGGGAGGAGTCCAGACATCAACTCTCACAGTTGGGGTGGACTGACCCACAGGTGGCGCTTACTGACCGACCCCCGGCCTCGGATTGATTGGACTAAGAAGCCACCGCCCCCTCCTCCAGAAAGGACACAAAAGGGAGGCTCTGAGGCTGCTTTGGAGTGAGGGGTCTCACATTACAAGGAGCATCTGTGGTTGACTGCAGGGATTTTTGGTGGAATCCCTGTTGACAACAAAAAGCAGCCATTGAGGCGGTAGCGTGCTGGCCAGAGGGCGGGCCTGAGCCTCCTTTGCTGACAACAGCCCCCACAGGGGCTTGGAAGCAGTCAGCCCCAAAGCCCAAGGACGCCCTCTGCTGTCCTGGCTCTGCACTGGGGCCACCTCCTCCCCGAGAGCTGCCCCTGGTTTGGAGGTGAACCCGTGCTTCAGGAGTCAGCCCCTGGCTTGCGAGGCCACAGCCCTCTCCCCAGGGCCACCTGCGCCTCCACCAGGCCCAGCCACTCTCCCAGGCGTGGACCACCCTGCTGTCTCCAGGGACAGTGGACAGGACCTTTGCGGACAGCCAGGCTCAGGGCCCGAGGCCCATCACCTGGGTGTGGGGTTGGGGGGCCTGCTCACCGAGCTCTGGGTCCCTTTCTGGTCACTTGAGCAGGTTCTGGCTCTCCTTCCCCGACTCTGACCCCTCCCCCACCCCACCCCCAACTTCTCTTCCTTAGAGGTCCCTGAGGGCAGACGGAATTCTGGCAAGTCCTGTGTCTCTAGAGGGAGGGACTCTATCGCAGGCCGCTGGCCACCCACACGCGTGCAGCCAGACAAGGGCAGCCCCTGTCCGCGTCTTCACAGGGGGCTCCCTCCATGGCCCTGCAGGGGGGAGGGCGGCACAGCCCAGGCCCACAGCGTGAGACCTTGTGGGGCCCAGGGCCGTCTGCCTCCTTCATCAAGCTTGTCTGTTGCCAGTTCTCTGCCTCACGTTTTCCTCCGAGTCCAAATGTCAGTCACCAGTCTCCAGACATGGGCTGGGCATTAGCACGAGGAGCCACAGCTCCTGAGCTTTGTGACCGCGGGGCGCACGGGCCCTGGGCATGGGGCAGGGAAGGGAAGCGCTCTCCAGCTCCCAGCACGCAGTGGGCCCAGCCGGCAGGTGTATGTCCAGTGCAGCCACCCTGCCCAGCCAGTCACGCCCCGGCTACCTTGGCCCTGGGTGTCAGGATCTGACCAGACTCGTGCACAGGTCAGTTCGAAAGGTCAAAGAGGGCAGGTTTCCCCTGTTGTGCAGATGAACTTTCCCCTTTCACCTCTGCTGCTCCGGCCAGAGAGAGGGAATCAGCCTCTGAGGGTGGACGGGTGGGACTCAGCCACCCTGCCCAGAGCGACTGTTGGGCACAGCGAGACAAGGCCTGTGCCAATGGATTTTTCACCCCGGGCAGTCAGGGTGATGAGGGGGAGGCCTGAGGCTCCCAGGGCAGCAGGGGGGAGCGCGGGGGAGGGTGCTCTGCTGTCCCCGTCCCCTCGTCTCCAGAGGCCGTCCTCGGCCCAGCCCCTGACCTGCAGTGCCTCTCGGGCTGTGGGGTGGTTGAGGCAGTGGGACCCAGAGAAGCCCCGGGCCCCACAGCTGCTTGCTCCCGACCTGCACAGGGAGGGAGGGTCGCCATCCAGTGCTCCAGCCATAGCTGCCACGTCAGCTGCCCCTGGGAAGTGGGGGTTCAGGCTGGGCCAGCAACCTCCCTGAAGCCTGGAGCCTGTGCCGTCTCCAGTGGCCAGCAGAGGAGGCCTGGCAGCCCCACGATGGGCAGGAGGCCGGCACGCTTGCCCAGCAGGGCAGGACACAGCAGGCAGCGTCCGCTCAGCCCTGGCAGGATGGGGGCAGCCTCAGCACCTTTGCAGAGCAGCTCCGTGCTGCCCCTCCCTGATCCGGGACTCAAGAGCCCCACGGCAGCAGCTTCAGCGGGAAGGTGGCCTCACCTTAGGGTCCCACAGGCCCCACGGCCACGCCACGGCCCCAGTGGGGAGAAACACATGCCCATCTGGGACACACCCAGCTGTGGCGAGTGTCACCCAGGACCAAGGGCAACTGCAGGAGGGCAGGGCCCAGCCCTGACGGTTTGCTGATGTGGACATCCCAGCCAGGGCCACAGGCAAGCAGGAAGGGACAGAATAGAAGCCTCTTAGACCTTAACTTCTCGCTCTGCGTCCAGCGTCCCTCCGACCTGCTCCTGTAGCAACGCATACGCTCGCTGCAGCGCCTGGTACTCCATGGTCAGCTGCCGGAACCGCAGCTCCGTCTCCTCCTTGGCCACGCCCTGGAGGGGCGCACCACATGCAGAAAGACCCAACGTCAGCACAGCCTACTGCCGGCCAGGGCCCCGGTTCTCCCCAGTGAAGACCCTTGGAGGGGTCCTGCTTGCAGCCCAAGGGAGCAGTGACCGCCTGGGGACCCCATGCTGTTTGGAAAGGTCGCCTAGAAGGCAAACCCTGAGCCCCTGTGGTAGACGGCTGGACCAGGGTGTGCCCTGTGGGCAGGTGGCTGGGCCGGGGCTCAGCTGGGGCTCCCACATGCTGGCCAGGCTCCCTGGACACAGTGGCCCCTCGGTTACTGATGGGGCTCACGCGTGGCCCCACTCTGAGCAATGTCCCAGAGGAGAGCTGGGCTCTGTGGAAGGGGCAAAGCCTCCAGGGACTCCTCCCCACAGGACCACCCTGGGCTCGGTCTTGTGGTCACCTGGATGTGACCTCTCTGCAGTGGCACCTGTGGCCTAGGGACAAGGCACAGGCAGCTGGGTCTGCTGCTGCCTTAGAGGGCCCCGTGGACCCCTAGGGCAGTGGGTGCCGTGTTTAGGAAACTCCAAGCCCAGCAACTGTGACCCGGCCCCACCCTCAGTGTCCCCCACTCACCTCCTCCAGGTCGTCATCTGGGGTGCACGGGGTCTGGTCTGTCCTGTCAGTTTGGTAAGAGATGGAGGAGCCGTCGGATTCCAGGGATGCTTCCTCATCGTATCCAAAGAAGGTCTCCACAACGACCGGCTTCGGGGCGAAGGCACTGTGTTAGCACACCCTGGCTGTGGGGACCAGGGCCGTGGGCCACCCTCGCTGCGTGGCCCCACCCCACACCCCCGTGTGTCACCACTCCCCCCGGGAGGGCACTCCTGACTGGGGACTGGGGAGCCAGCGGGGAGCGGGGAGCAGGGAGGGGCCGTGTGCAGGACGATGTCACACAGGACAGCGGGCACCGGCCCTGGGGTGTGGCCACTTTGCAGTCACACGTCTCTGGTATGTTTTAAAGTACTGATGCCTTCAGGAGGGAACAGAAGCAGGAGAGGGTCCTCGCTGGTGTGAGACCCTGCCTCCAGGGACCCCCAGCTCGCCTCACGCCTGTCCCCAGAGACCTTAGGGCTCCCTCCTCTGGGTTTTAGAAACAATGCAAGATCTAAGAGCTGACCCCTCCTCTCCGTCCCTCTCAGACCCCTTCTTCCCCCCACTGAGAACCGCCACTGGCCATGTGGCCCTCGGGGCAGTCTTCCTGGGAGCCTCCTCCCTGGACCACACAGCTGCCCCAGGCCCTGCTGCCGGCCACACTCCTGCAGGCCCCTCCTGGTCACCCCCAGTCTCCAGGCTCCTACTGCTCAGCTGAGCTCAGCTCCTCAGGGAAAAGCTCTCTCCCTAACCTCCCCACAGAAGCGTCCAGAAAACAGCCACTAGACGGCACCAGCATAAGGTTCTTCATTGAACAGCCAGCCCCTCTGGTCGCTGGTTGTCCAGAACCTCCCATACAGTGGCCCAACTCCCTGCAGTCACATGGGTCACCCAGGTCCAGTCTGTCCTAGGTACACCTAAGATGTGTCGTGCGCCTCCTGGAGCTGCCTCCAGACTGTGATTCACTCCTCCTGAAACATCGGCCCTGCAGCTCTGACCTGCTAACCCGGGGGTAAAATAGCAGTGGCCCCACAAACAGCCTCCTAACTGCCTTGCCAAACTAGGGTAAGAGTAGGGAAGGACAAAGGACGGGCTCAGCGCCTGCATGGGCAAATAAACTGTGACTTCCTCTGGAAGGCGCCGGGCCCTTTGGTTTCTGTCTTTGCCCCTAACACCCTGAACCCCACCTGTCACCCATCTCCACTCCTGTCCTTACCCCCACCTGTCACCTAGGGCCACTCCTGTCCTGACCCCCACCTGTCACCCAGGGCCACTGCTGTCCTGACCCCCACCTGTCACCCAAGGCCACTGCTGTCCTGACCCTCACCTGTCACCCATCTCCACTCCTGTCCTCACCCCACCTGTCCCCCATACCCACTCCTGTCCTGACCCCCACCTGTCACCCATCTCCACTCCTGTCCTCACCCCACCTGTCCCCCATATCCACTCCTGTCCTCTCCCCCACTTGTCTCCCATACCCATTCCTGTCCTGACCCCCACCTGTCCCCCAGGTTCACTCTTGTCCTGACCCCCAACTGTCCCCCAAGGCCACTCCCTGTCCTCCCCCCAACTTGTCTCCCATACTCACTCCTGACCTCACCCCCACCTGTCACCCATACCTACTCCTGTCCTCTCCCCCACTTGTCTCCCAGGTCCTCTCCTGTCCTCACCCCACCTGTCTCCCAGGTCATCTCCTGTCCTGACCCCCACCTGCCACCCATATCCACTCCTGTCCTGACCCCTACATGTCACCCATCTGTCCTTACCCGCGCCTGTCCCTCAGGTCCACTCTTGCCCTGACCCCTGCTCACTGGCCCTTCATGTTCTGGTCCGTGGGCCTTGCTGACCCCCAGGCTAGATTCCCCTGTGGCCCGGTGCTCTCCCTCTCTGTACCAGGGCCTTGAGTGAATCTGGCTCATGTGACTCCGCGGTCTCTGTCCCACTCGCTCGGCTTCCCCCACTCCCTCCTCAGCCCAGGGGAGCACTGGACACCTGGGGACTACGGGAAACCAGCGGCCTCCAGGTAAGTTCTGAACTGCAAAGATCCCGAGGAGAGAGAGGCCCTCGGTCAGCTCCTGCCCAAGGCCCTGAGGCTGAGGAACAGCCAGCGGCTGGTGGAGGCCCCACAGACGTGGGTTTCACATGAGGCAGGAGAGTCGGGTCTGGGGGTTTCTCCACAGCTCCCACCGTGGACATCACAGGTCCAGCTCAGGACTTCAAGTTCCCAGGGACACAGCTTGGCCGTGTAGGGCTGCAGCAGCGGCAAACACGGCTGGGACAAGGGTGCATGGCCCCCACCCAGTGAGGGTCAGGAATGCAGACAGCGACACCCAGGCTGCCGGCCAGTGTCCCACACAGGGAAGCAGGTGCCCCTTGCTGCCGTCACCGTGACTTCCTGGATCCCCTTGAGGATGCCAAAGGAGCAAGGCTGGTTTCTGAATTTAACGCTGTGACCTGTTTGGGTCATTTGGTAGGAACACGTGAGTGATGACGAAAGCACTGCTTTTCACATGCAGGGGGCGTGTCCCCCATACCTTGGGGAGTTTTGCCATCTTCTTCCTTTGCTTCCGCAACCTTAAGAGCTTATCGCGTTCCTGCAAAGCCCAGCGGAGAGACTTCCTAAGCAGCTGACCCTCTTCACACATGCAGCTCAGGATTTCTGTCCCCGCACACAAGTCGGCGTCCACTGTGCCGTGCACACCACCTGGCCCTGGCATCGCTCCCGTGCTCTCCAGGCCTGGCCAAGGGCCCACGGCGGGTGGGGGGTGGGGGCCTCTGAGCTCAGGCACCACCAGCTGTCCTTCAGGGACAGTGTAGGGGCAGGTGTCTCTGCAGAAACAGCGTCCACCCCTGTGTGGACACCGCCTCCCCAACCAGGAAACAACGCTGTACTTTCAGGGCCCCAGAGGGGACCAGCCAGGCCGAGACTGCCCATCGGTGCTGGCCAGGGAGAAACCCATGCAGCAGTGGGCTCCGGGCATCAGAGAGCAAGAAGGACAATTGTTGGAGCAGGTGCTGTCTCCCTGGGGCAGCAGTGCCCCCACCTCCCCCCAGCACTGACCCCCTCCCGTCCCAGGACAGAGCCTTCTTCCTGGCTCCTGTCTGACCTAAGCCCTGGTTCTTGGGAACCATGGCAAGGGCTGGGCAGTGGCTCAGCGAGTCCACCCCAAAGGCTGCAACGGCCACCTAGGAGCCTCAGCACAGAAGAGGCCCTGGGACACCTGGGCTGGGAAGGGGGTGTGGGGGACGGGGACTGGTACTCACTAACACGCTCTTCACGTAGCCAGCAGTCTCGAGGGTCTAGGAAAGAAAAGGCAGGGCATGGGCCCGCTGAGGACCCTGCTCCCAGTCCCTGCCCTCCTCTGCAAACCCAGAGCCCTCGAGACCACGCAGCCTCGGCCCTGAGCAGGCGGCTTCACCCCAAGTCCCCAGGGGCCCCAAGGGCCTCTGCCTTGCTGGTCAGCAGGGGAACCTGGAATGAGGAACACTGGTAACTGACCAGGATCTCATCCTTTTCTCTTGCAAATGTCCACAGTGGGTGTGAAATCAGATGGGGGAGGGACGGCTCCAGGTGGGCGGGGTTTCCCACCCCGAGGCGGCCCCATTCACTGACAAAGAGGCCACCACTTGCTGGCCACACTGCTCAGTGACGGAGGGGACACCGATGCCCTTCAGAGGTCACAGAATGAGGAAGTCTTCCAAAATGACCTCCCATGGAGGCTGCTGAACCCCAACAAGAAGCAGGAGGGGCCCAGGTCAGGGAAACTGGGAAAACTATGCTGGGGGAGGGCATAGAACAGGACAGTCACTGGCCTCACAGTGGCCCCCAAACTGACCAACTAACCCCTGAGGCCGTGAACATGATGGATTTGGAAATGGGTCTTTAGGAGGCCGAGACAAGATGGCTCTGGGTGAGGGTGGGGTCCTATACCCCATGTCAGGGCCCTGTAAGGAAAGAGGAGGGTCAGATGGAAGAGGGGGTAGTCAGGGGGAGACAGAGGTGCAGGTTGGGGTGAGGTGGTAGCAACCAAGGAGCCAAGAGGGGTTTCCTGGGGGAAGAAGAATGGCTAGAACTTCCCCAGAACATTTGGAGGGAGCGTGGTCCCACGGTCTCCTTCACTTTGGAGCTGTGGCATCCGAACTGGGAGAGACAGACGTGGCTGGGGCGTCGTGAGCCCAGAGTGGGGGACAGCAGACGTGGCTGGGGCATCATGAGCCCCGTGGGGGACAGCAGACGTGGCTGGGGCATCGTGAGCCCAGAGTGGGAGAGAACAGGTATGGTTAGGGCGTCGTGAGCCCAGAGTGGGGGACAGCAGACGTGGCTGGGGCGTCATGAGCCCAGAGTGGGAGAGAACAGGTATGGTTAGGGCGTCATGAGCCCCGGGGGGGACAGCAGACGTGGCTGGGGCGTCGTGAGCCCAGAGTGGGAGAGAACAGGTATGGTTAGGGCGTCGTGAGCCCCGGCGGGGACAGCAGACGTGGCTGGGGCGTCATGAGCCCAGAGTGGGAGAGAACAGGTATGGTTAGGGCGTCGTGAGCCCCGGGGGGGACAGCAGACGTGGCTGGGGCGTCATGAGCCCAGAGTGGGAGAGAACAGGTATGGTTAGGGCATCGTGAGCCCCGGGGGGGACAGCAGACGTGGCTGGGGCGTCGTGAGCCCAGAGTGGGAGAGAACAGGTATGGTTAGGGCGTCGTGAGCCCCGGGGGGGACAGCAGACGTGGCTGGGGCGTCGTGAGCCCAGAGTGGGAGAGAACAGGTATGGTTAGGGCGTCGTGAGCCCCGGAGGGGACAGCAGACGTGGCTGGGGCGTCGTGAGCCTCAAGTGCAGTAGTGTGTGGCAGGCCCCACAGGAACTGGCAGGCCACATGAGGAGATGCAGGGAGCAGAGGTGGGGTAGCCAGGACCACTTGGTCACAGGTGCTGCCCACCCTCTCCTGCCCCTCCCGCCGGGCACGCATGGGCAAAGCTCCCGGTGCTGAGCAAACCGTGGCTGCCTCACCTTGGAGAGCTCGTCGATGAGGCTCTGCTGCTCGGCAATCTGCACTTTCAAGAAGTCGACTTCTCTCTCGTCCTGGCTTTGGTCAAGGTCGTTTAAAGAGCTGGGTCTTCGTATGATGCCGGCTCGCTGTCTCTGAAAGCAGCAGATGGCACACGTGAGTGGGGAGGCAGCCCCCTGGCAGAGAGAGCTGGGGGACCCCTCACTCAGCCTGCAGGGGTCTGGGCAGCTCACAGCACCCCTAGAAAGCCTGGCCGTGACGGGGACCACGCCAGCCCCTGGGGGTGGGGGCTGCGGGGGCTCCTGCCCTACCCGGGGCTTGTGGTGGAGAGGGTGCCCCCACATCGCTGCACACTTGCTTCACGGCCTCTGGGGCCTCGGGGCCAGAAGCAGCACACAGGGCACTGGCCCCCACCCTGTGGTCTGGCTCAGGGGCCACGACAGGAGTAGAGCTTCCACCCCTGCCACGGTAGAGCTGTGGACGGACTGGGGCCGCCCCAGCCCCCGCAGGCCCTTACCATCTCAAGGTTCTCCTGGGTGATGAACTTCAACTTGTTCTCCATTCGCCGCAGAGCATGAGACAAGTCTTCATTTTTTCGGGTCAGGCGTTTGTTTTTGTCCAGCAGTGGCTTGTACTGACTCTCAGCTTCTCGTAAACGCTTTAGCTGAAAGACAAGGCTCATTACGCACGGCCTCTTTTTTAAGAAACAGAGACTCGGCAAGTGGACGGCTCAGCTCCTGACACAGGAAGGCAGAAAGCGCAGCTCACGCCCAGGTGGGCCCCAGCCGGCCGCTGCCCTCTACGCACGGGGGGGAACTGGCCCGAGTGCCATCCCATGCGCAGACAAGGAGCAAGTCAAAGGCCAGCAGCCTGGGCTCCACGCTCCATTTACCAAGAGGAACTGTGGGCAGAGAAATCGCCCAGCCCACCGACACTCAGCTGCCCACTGGCCCCTGCCTCGAATCCGGCTCCCTGGAAAGGCAAGGTCCCCACGCCTCCCGCATCAGGGCAGCTCTGAAGGTGCCTCCCCGAGACACGGAGCAGGGATCAGCCAAGCAGCGCCAGGGGGCCCGACCTACCCATCGCCAGTCTGTCACTAAAGTTCTACTGGTACACAACCCAAGGCCCCAGGCGCACGGCCGCTCCTGCACTGCACAGGAAGCCCGCTCGGCCGCGCTCACCAGCTCGTTCCTCTCCTCCGACAGCAAGGCGTTGCGGTCCTCCAGCTTGCGGATGATGGCGCTCAGCTCTGCGATTTTAAGCTGGAAGCGCCGGGCATCCTTTTCATCCAACTGCTGTTCCTAAAACAAAGACCAACTGCAAAGAACTGCTCCCGCGCACCACACGCCGACGCTCTGCCAATCCCAGCGTCACCAACACCGAGACACGCCCGCTCCGGCCCTGGCTTCCCCGTGGCTGCTGGGTGGTGAGGGTCCCTGGGGAGTGCCCTGCCTGGAGCGGCGTGCGTGGCACCCACACTCCAGGACGGGGTCAGCAGGAGCAGAATGTGCGGGGTATGCAGATGTGGAGGGCCGGGGTGTGCGAGTGTGGGGGCCGTCCGCCAGACACCTGGACCGGCTCTGCGCCCTCCTCTGCCACCGCTGGGCTGCACCTTCCAGGAAGGGTCTGGGTGTACGCGGAGCACAGGGAAGGACACTTGTCACAGACCACATGAGCTCAAGGGGCGTGCTCCCTCAGGAGTCTCTGAAGGTCACCGGGACTCCACCCGAGAAGCAGGGAACACAATTTCCATGCAGCTACATCTCGCTGTAGAGCGGGAGGGGCTGGGTTAGTCCAGCTAGGATGGTTACAGAATGTCATTCTCTGTTCTCCAAATGTCACTGGCCTAGGGCTGGCTCAGCTCAAACGCAGGTTTGTCCTCAAAGCAAACCAGCAGGTGTCTAGGAAGGCACTGGACACGGCTCGAGTTCCTCATTCAACAGGTGCAGGAGAGGCTAGCGACCCAAGACCCAGAGGGACCTGCACCGAGGGGATGATGAGCGTAGGTCCCCCGGATAGTCTAGAACCGCAGAGGAATGTGAATGAGGAGTGGTGATGAGGAGACAGGCAGCCGCCCCAGCCCGTGCCACTGCCGGCAAACCCCATGCTGTCATGCGCAGCCCGAGGAGGAGCAGAAGGGACGCGGTCTCACGCAAAGCAGGTGGGAGGTGACTGTGACACGGGTGCAGAGGGGAGCCAGCAGGCAGAGGCTGGTGCGTGTGGAGGTGGAGTCATGGGCGCTCATGCATGGGAGCAGGTGCATCACCCAGCAGCCCGGGGCCAAGGGCACTTAGCCTTCAGGGAGGCCACAGCAGAGGTGGTGCCGGTGAGGGAACAGGACCTGGGGTTCTTTAGCTATCTGGCCAGAGTGAGCCACACTGAGGGCCCCAGGGTCTGGCCGGAGGGTGACCCTGGGACGGGGGCTTGGGCTGCGCTTGGCTCTAGGGAGTCTCACAGCCTGGGACGGCCGGCCGAGGCCTGGGGGTGCTTACAGGGCTTCCCGGGTGGTCTGAGGCGTCTCCTGCACCGCTTGCATAAGGAAGTTCCCGTCTGGGGCTGCCCAGGTGCCGATCAGCCTCTCTGACCTGGGAGAGCCGCTCATCTAAAGCCTCCTTCTGCAGCTGCAGTCTCTGAGCGTGCCCGGCTTGCGCCCCTAACTCTCTCTCCAGCACGAAGACTGCTCTGTCCTTAAATCTTATCTCCTCCATCTACAAGGAGAACAGAACACAGTCACACACGCAAGCGAGGATGGACCTGCAGTTACCACAGAAATGGGAGAGGGCATGAGGCGGGGACGCCAGGAGGGAGCCCGGTCTGCACCTTGGGCATGGAGCTCCTCCCTGGTGGGCCGCAGGCTCTGGGTGTCCCTGCACAGCCAGCCTGTGCTGTCCAGTAGGATCCCACCCGCTTCCCCCGGCCCCCCGTCAGGACCCCCAGCGTCCATGGGGGCTGGTGGTGTCTGGATGGCTGAGAGGAGCATTGAACAGAGCAGCGGGACCCCGAGTGCCCACACCTGACACCTGTGGGCAGAACTGGTGGGTGGGCTGAGCATGGTGAAGGGGACCCCCACCCTGGGCCCTGCACCTGCCCCTGAGGTGACAGCTAGGCAGGTCAGGGCAGTGCAGGGGCCACCACACCCTCCTTCTGCCGCTCCCTGCTCCGAGGCCACAAAGCCAAATGCCCCACAGCTGTCTTCAAGTGAGGCTGCATTTCTCCATCACTCTCACTGGGAGCCAAGGTTTAGGGGTGGGGTCCCCTGGACCAGCAGGCCACAGAGGCAGAGATGGTGCCCTGTGCATCCACTCTGACCTGACCTCTCCACCCTCCCTGGAACGCACTGCCTTGTGCTGAGCCTGTGAACCGCAGGGAGGAGCTGCCATGCCCAGCTGCCACGCCCACACCACCCCAGACCCCCACGTGGCCGGGGGAGGCACTGTACATGGAAGGGAGGCAGAGAGGACCCAGCAAAAGGTGCCACACCTACAAGACCATGTCTTGAGGACAGTTTTAGGCAGATTTTTAATAAACAGGCCAGAGTGGGGTACTGTGCTGCTTCACTTGCTCATTAAAGTGAAAATAAGCTCAGGATGCCTAATCAGCCCAGATCGCAGAACCACGACCAAACTCAGACCTTTCACTGCTGAGTTCCCACTGGCCGGAGGACTCAGTAGTGCTGGAGGCAGCAGCCTGTTTTCAGAGAAAACAGACAGTGACAACCGAATCACAGGCAGCTGTGGCCAACAGCCTGGCGTCTCCAGCTCACATGCAGACACTCCAGCACACCCTGTTCCTTTTGCCAGGAAACCAGCAGGCAAGGCCTCACACACAGACCCCTCCCCGGGCTTGTCCAGCGGGTGGGGAGGCAGCGGACCTGCCCTGTGGGTGCTACCGCATAGGCCAAGGGAGCTCCCTTGGGAGTGGGGACCAGGATGTCTGTAGACCCCCGTCCCACCTGTCAGCCAGAGGCCCGTGGGGGAAGGAAGACTGAAACTCAGGACCCCGGGCACACCCAGGTCCAGAGGCGCCCTGTCCGGGGTGTGGCCTGTGCACCCCCACCCCTCTGGGGTCACTGGCAGCTGTGGCCACCCTGCCTGGGCTGACGAGGCCCCTGTCAGCTCACAGCAAGGGCCCTGACCCAGGCCTCCCAAGGAAGACGACACACAGAGGGACCTTCACCACCACTCTCGGGTGCACAGAACAGGAATCGGCGGGTTGGGCTTGTTAAAATTAAGACTGCGTTCATCAAAAGGCATCCTTGGGAGATGCCTGTGTGATGCAGAGGCGTGGAGAAGACAGGTGCAAAATGTGCATCTGACAAAAGCCTGCGTCAGGAATACAAAGAATTCAGAAAAGTCACTAAGGGAAGGACAAGGAACCCACTGTACAATTGGACAAGAGATGTGAACAGACACCATAGAAGACACGCAGACGGCCACCAGGAGGGCGAGGCTGCAAACAGGTGGCCGGCCTGTGACGTGAGGGGGACGAGGCTGCTGGGGCCGGGGTGGGTGGAATCATTCACTCAAGGACGCTGGCAGACAGGCTCAGCACCTGGCCTCCTGCCGGCCATTCTCGCAGACACGGGAACACCCAGGGAGAAATGGTGCACACAGCCACATGGAGACGTGACAGCAACGCTCACAGTGGGGGACAAACCCACCACGGCGGATGTGTGCACCGTGCCGCCTAACCACGCCCCCAGGGAGCATCGCCCAGGGAAGGGGTCAGCATCCGGACCACGGCAGTGAGCACGGGCTCTCCCTCAGACGTTACCACTTGGCTTTCCCAAAACTGTCAGAAACCCGGACGTGACGCATGCCTGAGCTTCAGTCTCCCGAACCCCAGCTTCGGGGCCTCAGTGCACGGGGTGTCTCAAAGCTCCCAGTTTTCCCAAGCAATACGGTCAGTGGTTGTCCAGCCCGGGAACTGGTGTAAGTTACTCCTGGAGGGCCAGGCCTCCAGCCATGAACAGTGCAGGGGGCACTTCCTCCTCCAACTCTACCCCTCCCCCACCTCACCAGTGCAGGGGGCACCTCCTGCCTCACCCCGCCCCCTCCCCCACCTCACCCATGCAGAGCCATCAGCTAAAGCAGCCAATGATTCGGCCTGGTCAGATGTGGGTGCCGTGAACTCATGTCACCCCTGGTGCCTGGGAACACTGCAGCACCCCTCTGGATCGGGCCAGGGCCCCTTGACAAAGTTTCTGCTGCCCAAGGGTGAAACGGAAGCCTGGCAGGGCTCTGCAGGTCCCCCGTGACAAACAGCCCTGCCTGTGGCCAGCCTCTCACCGGAGGCAAATCTGCCCTTAAAGCTGAAACGCTCAGAACATAAGGTCAGGCGCCACATGTGATTACTCTGTGTCTTGCATTCTGTTCTACTTCAGCCGCTGCCTACACACCTGGGGACGTGGGATCGCATCACACAGCACAGTAAGAGAGACGGGATACTGGCTTCTGTCTGCAATTCTCTGGCTTCACAGAATGTTTTAAATGGTCTTACATTTATATATTTGAAAGGCAGAGATAGAGAGACAGAGAATCTTCCGCCTGCTGGTTTGCTCCCCAAATGGCCACAACAGCTGGGGTTGGGCCAGGCCGAAGCCAGGCTCCTGGGACTCCGTTTGGGACTTCCTGGCGCCTTCTCTGCTGCCTTCCCAGGAGCCTTGGCAGGAGCTGGACTGGAAGTGGGGCACCAGGACGTGAGCCGGCGCCCACACAGGACGCCAGTGTCGCAGGCAGCAGATTCACCTGCAGTTTCTAGTGACAGCATGAGCTCTGAGCGTGTAGGGCTGCATCTCCATAGACCTCTCCTGGGTTGGTAGCAGGAAGCATCAGTGCGCCCACAGCTGCTCCTAGAGGCCAGGCACGGCCCTGATGTCACCATGGGTGCCCCTGGGCAGGCTGGTCAGGGGTAGGAGACGGGTCTCTGCATGAGCTCACAGAGGGTCATGTTGGGGGCAGCCCTTAGCAGTCTGCCGCATGGCTTCAAAGGGAGGGGAGACAGACCTGTCTGGACACAGCTCCCTGTCCTGCCACGTGATGTCCTGTGCCAGCATGAAGGCCATCGCCAGATGCGGCCCCAGGCCTTGCACCTCCAGGAACCACCTTCTTTCTTTATGAAGTTAGCCTGCCTCACGTAATTCAAATGTCAACGAAAAGCTGACACAGCAGTATGCAGAAACAGGACTGACAGCTATGTACTGATCTTGAATCCTGAGCTGACACAATCACATACAGAAATACAGCCACTGGCTAGGTATTGACCTTGCATCCTGGAGCTTTGCTGAGCTGACTGAACGTTCTGCTCCCTTTAAAGCTGATACCTTAGGAGGCTTTGCGTCCAGAGCCAGGCCGTCAGCGATAGCAGACAGAAGTTCCCACTCCTTTTCCTTCCAGAGCCTTCCATTTTTTCCTTCTGCCTTTTTCTACCAACTCCAATTCCTCTTTGGGGAAAGGTTAAAATAGAGAAAAAGGAGAAAAAGTCCCCAACCAGATGGCAGAGTTTCTGCCTATCTCCCCGCGCGTGGCGAGGCCTCTGCCCTCACAGAGCCCCTGGTTAGCGACCCCAGCTGGGGACATGCATGAGGAAAACCCTCCAACCCGACAAGAGAGCGGCCAGAGGGAGCTGGAGTGAGGGCGAGGAGGGAACAGGAACACCTTGCAGAAGCAGCACAGAGCGATGGCCACCTTCACGGGGGGAGCTGAGAGCGCGGGCACCAGAGGACTTGATTCAGACTCAGAACACACACTGCGGAGAGTCAGACATGAGCTGGCACAAAGAGAAACGTCCAACACAGAGGTTAAAAGAGGAAGCTGAAGATGCTGTCTATAAACAAGGACAACAGGGGCCGGTGCTGTGGCGTGGCGGGTAAAGCCTCTGCCTGCAACACCAGCGTCCCAAAGGGGCGCCAGCTCGAGACCCAGCTGCTCCACCTCCGGCCCAGCTCCTTGCTGATGGCCCGAGGAAGCAGTGAAGATGGCCCAAGTGCGTGGAGACCCGGAAGAAGCTCCTGACTCCTGGCTTCAGCATGGCACAGCCCTGGTCATTGTGGCCATTTGGGGGAGTGAACTAGTGGGATGGAGGATCTCTCTCTCCCTCCCTAACCCTGCCTTCAAGTAAATAATAAATAAAGGGAAGGAAGGACGGAAGGAAGGAGGACAAGAAGCTGAGGCTGGTGGGAAAACCGGCACCTTGGGGTCTGAGGTCCGAGGAACAGGCATACTGGGAGGAGAGGGGGAAGAAGTGCTGGTTGAGGGACAGGCCTTCGGGATGAACGGGCTCCCGGCCGCCACGCGAACAGAACAGGGGAACGAGGCTGCAGGCCCTGGGCTCCCGTGACCCTGGGCGTGGGGGGCGAGACCAGGAACGGGAAGGTCATGAAGCTAACGGCAGCTCTGAAGTCAGGAGACGGTGCAGCGACAGCTCCAGTGGCAGCCACGCAGCACCACACCCCAGGAGGTGTGCGTCTGGGAAAAACACCACACACACAGGCTCTCCCGGAGCTGCTCCCCAAAATGAGAGGCCACGCAACCAGACACAGAGGTGTGGAATGGAGGCCTCTGGGGCCCTGGGGGGCTGGTTTTGGGCTGCACAGTCAGGACAAGACAGGGTTCCCTGGGGCCAAACAGTTCCAAAACAGGAACTGTGACGGGCCTGTGGAGATTCGGGTGAACGCGACAGACGCTTAGGAACTAAAGTGCATGAGAAAGCTCCAGAGGAACCAGCAGGGTAGGAGGGCAGTAACGTCGCCACGGCCCGATGTGAGCCTCTGATGGCCACCCCCAGTCAAGCTCCGAGGGCTGCCTCAGTTTCTCTTTTTGGCCTCTCGACCTGCTCTCCGCCCTCCTCCCCAGGCACTGTGGCCCCAGGATCACACCCACACCTGCCACCCTCTGCCGCCACCTGCCGCCCAGCCTCTGCTGGGTTTGGCCGAGGGGAGGCAGATACTGGCCCACTCAGCTCCCAGGCTGCGCTGGAGTCGGTGGCAGCCGGGCTGCGCTGGAGTTGGTGGCGGCTGAGGCTGGCTCCTGGCAGCCGCGCTCCTGGCCCCATGGTTGCCCTTCTCCAGTCTCCCCCCAGGCCTCCTGCTGAGACAGGGGCCCCCCCCACACACAGCCCAGGGAAGGTGGGGAGGCCGACCTAGGGAGGGAGGGGCTGCCTGCCATGGCACAAACACTTGGTTGAGGCAGGGAAATCCACAAACAGAAGTTGAAGATTCAGGGGCCGGCGCTGTGGCATAGCAGGTAAAGTCACCGCCTGCAGTGCTGGCATCCCATATGGGTGCCAGTTTGAGACCGGCTTCTCCACTTCCACCCAGCTCTCTGCTGTGGCCTGGGAAAGCAGAAGATGGCCCAAGTGCTTGGGCCCCTGCACCCGTGAAGGAGACCAGGAAGAAGCTCCTGGCTCTGGCTTCAGCACAGCTCCAGCTGTTGCGGCCGACTGGGGAGTGAACCAGACAATGGAAGACCTCTCTCTCTGCCTCTCCTTCTCTGTGTAACTCTTTCAAATAAATACATAAATCTTAAAAAAAAAAAAAAAAAAGTTGAAGATTTAAAAATCGGGAGTAAGTTCCGGAAGAACCAGCTAGTGGAGCAGCAGGTAAGTCGCCTCTGAGGCCCAGATAGGCGGTGAGAAGGGACAGCAGGGCCCATAGGGACGACGGGAGCGGCTCTGTCGCACGCGCTAGTGAAGAGACAAGGCCTCCGTCTAGAGGAAGGCCAAGTCCAACCATGGAGAGTGAAAGGCCACAGCGAGTGCTGCTGCCCTCTCCAGGGTGGTCTCACAGCAGGGGCAGTGGCCCACATCCTCAAGTCACGTCACACCTAAGACCAGGGGCAGATCTGGGGTTGCTGAAGGTGGCCCTGCACACGAGCTCTGGATAGACGGGGTGGGGAGGACGGGGCCGTCAGGGCGGGAAGATCTGGGGTCCCCGCGTGCAAAGGTGTTCGCCAAGGACTTCCCTGGTGGTGGCAGGGACAGACACTTGCTCTGGCAGAGCGGCTGGGCGGCAGACTTTGGACCCCAAGTGCAGGCATGCTGGCTGGAAAGATTGCTGCCCACCTGCACAGGGCGCCTCGGTGCCCAGGGGGCTCCAGGTGCTGGAGTGGGGCCGGCCTCGGAGGCAGAGCTGCGTCCCCACAGCAGGGGGAGAATCAGCTGTGGCCAACCCCCAGGACCCCCGCAGGTCCTCCGCTCCTAACACCGAGGCTCTGGGACAGTCAGGTTCGCCCAGCAAAGCTGCCATGGTCTGACCACACTGGCCCTGAAACTACCTCCTGGGGGCCCTGTCTAGGAGCAGCGCCCTCGCGGGTGGCAGCACTCGCGGCACTGTGGGTGCTGGACTGTGTGACCGTGCGGTCTCATGTTCCAGCGTGTGAGCGGGCGTGCCGAGCAGGGATGACCAGAGCCCGCCCGCGCCCCACGTACCAGCCTGCGGATCTCGCGCTCACACTCCTTCTTGATGCGGCTGATCTCCTCCTGGTGCAGGTGGTACACGCTCCGGATCTCCGCGGCCTTGATCTTGTCGGCCTGGATGACCAGCGTCAGCGCCTCCTCCACCTGCTTCTTGGCCCCCTTCAGCTCCGAGATCTCCTGCTGCATCCTGACCTTCTCCACCTCGAAGCCCTTCTTGGCCTCCTCCTTGGCTTCGCACAGCAGCACGGTCTTGACCTTGTCGGGCGCGCCGTCCCGCAGGGCGTGCAGCAGCGCCTGCAGCCGCTGGTTCTCGTTGTCCTTGATCTTGATGACCCTGAGCAGCTCGGCCTCGTGCTGCCGCAGCAGCGTCTCCCGCACGGCCTGCAGCTCCTTCATCTTGTCCTCGTGCAGCTTGGCCTTGAGCTCCGTGAGCAGGACCGCACTCTTGTGCTGCTCGTGCTCACGCGCCTGCCGCAGCTCCTGGTTCTTCTCCCGCTCCACCTTGCTCACCTGCAACAGACACCAGCACTCCCGAGACCCGCAGGCACGCTGGGCGGGGACTCGGCCGCTCGTCTCTGCAAACAACGAGTGTCACCCTTGGAAGTGTGCATGAAAATCCAACGTCAAACCTAATCGTGCACAAGCAGGGGTGCTCCGCGGGGAGCTCAGCTGGGGCCCGGGAAGCGAGGGGCGGACACATGCGTCCACCTGAGAACAGGACAGGCATGGAAGGCAAACCCAAGGCCCTGGACGACTGCCCTGGGAACAGGGGCAGCTTTCCCCTTGGACACAGCCCCAGGGCAGGGTGCACCCTGGCCGGGGACTCTCAGGCCAGCTTCGTCCCCTGCCTTCCGCCCCATCGTCCCCCAGCCTAATCTCAGCGGTGCTGTGCTCACAGCCACGAGGCTGGACGGAGGGTGGCTACTCTACAGGTGTCAGGGACACCAAGGTTTCACTTGACATTGTTTCCCTCAGCTGCTCAAGCCATTGGCTACATGATCACCCCATGATCCGCAGAATTACAGAGCAGCTGAAATCTAGATTCACCCTAGGAAATCAGGACAGTGCCCTGTGGTCACACGGAGGTCACCCTGGCTGCCTCTGCCACGTCAGGGCCCTGGCTCCAACTCCGAGTAGCTGGGCTCCCATGGCACCGTGGTCTTAGACGCATGGGGATCTCCTGCCCTCGGCAGCACAACAGACAGTGCTGACACCCTCCCCCACGCCCCCATGAGATGTCAGCCTCCTGTCCTGGACAGCTCCTCCCCCACTCACCTCTCTCTCAGGTGATGAGCGACGAGCACTGTCCAGGTGCTGACAGGACCCTGAGAAGGACGGCCACCCAGGGCCCTCTCTCATTCAGCCACAACTCCATGGCCTCCCACAGCTCCACGGCTGCACATCCCTGCTCCCTCTCCCAGGGCTATGAGATCTCTCACCTCACCTCCTGTTCACTGCCACCTCCCCTGCAGCCTACTCTACACAGGAGACCTCACCCCTCCCCATCCTCCTACCAAGTGCACTTTGTACAGGGGAGACCTCTCACCTCCCCTCACTCCCCCTGCAGACCACTCTGCACAAGAGAGACCTCTCACCTCCTCTCACTCCCCCTGCAGACCATTCTGCACAGGAAACCTCTACCTCCCCTCACTCCCCCTGCAATCCACTCTGCACAGGAGAGACCTCTCACCTCTCTTCACTGGTCCCCCCGCCATGGTCCACTCTGCACAGGAGACCTTTAGAAGCACAATGCCCATGGCTTGGGTCCCAGGCACCCCCCCACCCTGAGTGGCTCTGGCGCCTCTTACAACACAGCAGGGGCTCCCAGGGCACAGGGAAGTGGGTCTCAGCCCCTCCGGCTCCTGGTCCCGGCCCAGCAGTTCTGCTCCTGGCATCATGTTCTTCCCCTCAGCTGTCTAAGCTCTAATCCCACACAGCCTGGGCGCCCCCAGCCTCTGCAGACTCCCAGGGCCCCCTCAGTGGTCAGCCCGACCGGCTCTCCTGGGGCTGCACACCCTGGAGCGTGCTCACGGACTGCCTGGCTCGTTCCTCCACTGGGGCTGTTCTGTCCCCTCCCATGCTGGACACGTTCTCTCAGCAGCCTCACTTGCTGTGACTTCCCCATGACGACACTGGCCATCCTCTTCTCCTGGGGGTGAGCCCTCAGGCTGCCCCTCAGGAGTCTCCCAGCCATTTACTGCAGAGAAATTCCAGTCCCGGCGCCCCACAGTGCAGGAAACAGGGCCTCACTCACTGCTGGGGTGAGTGGACTCCGGCAGAGCGGGGCAGCTGCCCTCGCACTAAGGGCAGCCTTGTCCTCCAGGTAAAGCCGAGCTCCAAGAGGAAGACCCAGCCTCGTCCGTGTGTGTTTCTTGGCCATGGGGTGGCTCACAGAGTCCAGGGGAGGAGGAAGGGTCTGGGGGCAGCCGTCACACAGCTGGGCATGGCAGAGCCCATGAGACTGGCCTTACCAGGAGCCCCTGAGTCGGAGCCACCAGCGAGGGTGGGAGAACTGGGCAGGGTCAAGGGCCAGATCCCTGCCCCCTGGCCAGCGCTCAGGTCACAGCACACAGCATGGAGGGCCGGGCTGGGAACCAGCACCCCAGGGGCCTCCTTCCCTTCCGGCCGCCGGCCACCAGCAGCTGGGGGATACTCAGTGCAAGCCTTGCCTGCACTTCCTTGGGAGGTGCTGCTGCCAGTGTGGGCCAAGGAAGTGCCAGGACAGGGCTCTAGGAACCGCGATGCTCCGCCCATCAGTCATGGCTGAAGGATGGAGGCTCCGCCCACTGACTGTGGGGACTCAACGAGGGAGGGGGCCTCCACCCACTGGCCACAGGGACCGAGGGATGCAGGGAGGTAACCCGAATGAGGAAGAGGACGTGTCAGCAGAGAAAAGGCCGTGGAAGCCGTGGGTTCCTGTGTTCACGAGACAGAGCGCCCAATCGCTCGGACTGGGGGAGAGCGAGGCTACATGGTCGAATGGAGAGAACACACCGGGCAGGCCAGGCTGGCGGCTCGGCAGACAGCAAAGAGCTGAGTGCGCAGTCTTTCCTTGGACTCCCTGTTGTTTTTTTAAGATTTAGTTATTTGAAAGTCAGAGTTACAGAGAGAGAGGAGAGGCAGAGAGAAAGAGAGAGAGAGAGAGGTCTTCTACCCGCTGGTTCACTCCCCAGCTGGCCACAATGGCTGGAGCTGTGCCGAAGCCAGGAGCCAGGAGCCTCCAGGTCTCCCACGTGGGTGCAGGGCCCAAGCACTTGGGCCATCTTCCACTGCTTTCCCAGGCCACAGCAGAGAGCTGGAATGGAAGAGGAGCAGCCGGGTCTCAAACCGGCACCCACATGGGATGCTGGCACTGCAGGCGGCAACTTTACCCACTACACCACAGCGCTGGCCCCAGAATCCCTAGGTTTTTAAGGGAGTCTCTTTATCCCCTCCCCCTCTCCTCTAGGACAAAGGATGGGGAGTCCTAGGGAAGTTTGCTGGGTGAAAATAAGCATATCCCCCCGCCCAGATTTCCCTTAGGGCCTCTGTGGAGGTTGTATTGCCCCATGCTATCAGGTCAGGTAGTCCACTTGGTCCTGAGGAGAGAATTCTCCTGGGAGATTTCCACAGGGGAAGGGCTGGGACCACCTGGGAGGTTATCAGGGTCTGGGCAGGCTCTTCTCACACACACACAGGTTAATCCTGACTTCCTACCTAACAGACGTGGCCCCAGGGCCCCACTGCCAGCGCTGCTGTCAGAGCTTCCGGCACTGGACACCTGGGCGACGCCGGCAGCTGCCTGTCTGGGGCCTGCAGGCGCACGTGCGGATCTTGTCCATTCTCAGCCCTGAGGTGAAGCGCAGGCACCTGTCACCTCAGAAGAGCGACATGGTCTCGCCAGGGACACATGGGTTTATGGATGCCACTCACCCGACCGCACTCTGCTGCCTCTGCTCTCCGGGCTCCAGGACACGGCCAGGGTGGGCACAGGACCTTCTGCCCTCCTGCCTCTCCTTGTGTTGTTTGTCCTCGCGGCTATGGAGACAGGCTGGGAACCCCGAGGAGTGCCTGCCAGTGCCCCAAAAGTCCCCTTTAGGAGACACCTGATGTGGTGCATTGCAGGTTAAGCACTGCCTGGGGCCTGCATCCTAGGTTCGAGTGCCTGCTTAGAGGGCCAGCAACTCGTGTGTCAGATCCAGCTTCCAGCTACTGTGCCCGCCAGGATGGGGCCTGGCCCCTGCCACCACACGGGAGACCCTGATGAAGTTCCTGCCTCCTGGCTTCAGTCTGGCTCAAACCAGGCTATTGTGAGCACTTGAGGTGTGAACCAGTCAACGGGCGGAAGAACTCTCCCTCCCTTCTCACTCTTTCAAATAAATAAATCTTAAAAAAAAGATGCCCAAGACAGAGTCCCTCACACCCTAGGGTGAGCTCTCACCACACGCCTGGCACCGTCTGACCTCTCAAGCATCTAACATGGGGTGTGCATCAGGCTCGGCTGCCCAGCACTGCAGTCTCAGGTCCAGACAATGCACGAGGTGCCCCTGCCCCTTCTTTCACGGGGAGTCAGGGCAGGGGAGCCCCCAGCCCCCTGGGAGTCTGCTGAGGTCAGCAAGTGTCAGGAGGCCCCAGCACACCAGGACCAGGCTGGTCCCGGCCCAGCTGCCTCCCCTGTGACCGTGTGGCTCCTGAATCATCACCACCGCCACGGATGCCACCACACGCCGTGGCCGTCCTCCTCCTGCACCTGCCGGCCCCTCCCTGCACCGCAAAGTCCCCACTTGGGTCCTTTTCCACTGCAGCCTTGCGTCCCCCACAGCGCAGCTTCCTGGCGCTCCACTAGGCGCACCTGCTGCCCGCTGTGGACTCCGCTGTCAGACACTCTGTTTCCAATCTTTTCACTATGTTTCTTCTCCTTACAGATTTAAAAACTTTCTAAGTTTTTTTTTTTTTTTTTTTTTTGACAGGCAGAGTGGACAGTGAGAGAGAGAGACAGAGAGAAAGGTCTTCCTTTTGCCGTTGGTTCACCCTCCAATGGCCGCCGCGGCCGGCGCGCTGCGGCCGGCGCAGCGCGCTGATCCGATGGCAGGAGCCAGGAGCCAGGTGCTTTTCCTGGTCTCCCATGGGGTGCAGGGCCCAAGCACCTGGGCCATCCTCCACTGCACTCCCTGGCCACAGCAGAGGGCTGGCCTGGAAGAGGGGCAACCGGGACAGAATCCGGCGCCCCGACCGGGACTAGAACCCGGTGTGCCGGCGCCGCTAGGTGGAGGATTAGCCTAGTGAGCCGCGGCGCGGGCCCTAAAAACTTTCTAAGTAATCAAACCCCACCTCGTGGCTTTTACCAGGGGACTCCAGGGTCTGCGGGAATGGGATTAGCACGGCGTTTTCCTCGCACGTCTCTGAGCCTTCTGGAGACCCCTCACTAAGTTTTTGATCTACATGGAAACCACACTGGAGTCAGTCCTGAACAAATAAGCTTTGAATCAGAGACCCGCCAGGCGTCCCAGTTCCATTCACAGCACAACCCACCCTTCCTCTACTTCTCTGAAAACTACTTTTACTCACCAAGGTTCAGACAGAAAAACGTCACGACAGGGATTCCACACAGCCCATTTAAAATGCGGGACTAAAACCAAAGGCAGGACAGAGGCAGGGGCTGGGGCGCTGGACGCCACAGCCCACAATCAGCTGCTGACCCAGCTTTCTGCTGATGCACCTGGGAGCCCCTGCCCCCCATGGAAGACCAGGATGGAGCGCCTGGCTTTGCCGGACCCAGCCCCAGGTGTTGCCTCTGTTTGGAGAGTGGACCGGCAGATGGAAGACCGCTTCTCTGTCACTGTGTCTTCCCAGTAAAACTAGCTACCGAATACACCAATCTCCTAGAAAGGCAGAACCGAAGGAGCTGGCTGGGGAGGGGAGGGTCTTTCAAAGCCTGGTAGTGTAAGTGACCTCTGACCTGGAAATCTGAGCTGTTATGGGGAAGGCTGAGGAGATGGAGGGAGGGGATGCAGGCAGGGCCAGGGAGGCACTGCAGACACAGGGCAGACCCAGGCCCCAGGCCTTGCCCAAGCTCCTGCTGGGAAATGTTCTCCCTGCACAGCCCTCCAGCGGAAGGCAGGACTTCCCTCTTTAAAATTCCAGACCCGGGCTTGGCACTAAGGGCTGAAAAAGAACACAAGTGAGCACAATGAAGAGCCAGGGAAAAGGAACCTGCCCGAACGCCCACAACCTGGAAGACAGGCCGGTGGAGCCTTCCGGAAGCTGCTGCACTGTGGCTGCCCTGCTGGCCCTCCCTGGCCTTCTGGATAAATACCTAAATGCCCCACACGACACCTTGCACTCTCCCCTAGGTCACGTCCCCCGGTACTACCCCAGGACCCACATCCGAGGCGCAGTGCTCCCCGAGACACAGCAGACCCCTGCTCAGCCGCCCACTGGCGACCTCTGTTCAACCGCCCATGGTGGGTCTCTGGGGTGAGACCCTCACAGCACAGCCCCCTCATGAGGCTCCCCGCCCAGACCCCACTCAGTAAAGGCAGCCCCATCCGTCCACGTCAGGCCTCGGGTCCTCCCAGCACGACCCAGCATCTTGCCTGTGTCTGTCCGTGGCTGCCACCATTAGCCAGGCATGGGGACCTGAGAGATGCCCCAGCCACTCACTTTGCTTTCCCCTACCCTCCCCCTGCAGCCAAATGGTATATTTAACATCAGCATAGTTGAAATGACAATCAATAAATCTTTAAAAGGTGGGGGGACAGCACTATGGTATAGTGGGTAAAGCCGCTGTCTGCAATACCAGCATCCCATATGGGTGCCTGTTAAGTCCCGGCTGCTTCACTTCCAATCCAGCTCTCTGCTGTGGCCTGGGAGTGCAGTGGAAGATGGCCCAAGTGCTTGGGCCCCTCACCCACGTGGGAGACCCGGAAGAAGCTCCTGGCTCCTGGCTTCGGATCGGCGCAGCTGCAGCCGTTGAGGCCGACTGGAGAGTGAACCAGCGGGTGGAGGACCTCTGTCTGCCTCTCCTTCTCTCTCTGTAGCTCTTTCAAATAAATAAATATTTAAAAAAAAAAAAGACAAGCAGATTTTAAAGTACATGCTTATACCCTGGATCACATGTGGATACAAAGTGTGCGTTTATGCCCATCACAGAGAGAGACCCCACAGCTACACAGTGTAATTCACCTTACCTGTTAGAGCTGCAAGGTGTGCGTTTATGCCCATTCAGACAGCTAAGAACTGGACCTGGCCAGCGCCTGAGCCCCCCAGCCCTGGAGCAGGCCCAGCTGCCCCCTGCACCTCCAGGGCTGTGATGTCGAGCTCTGCTGTGCTGGGTCCCCCAGGGCCACCAGCACCCTCCCCACCCAGCAAGGATGCCGAGCTTCCTCTGGGGGCAGCAGCACCTGCTGAAAGACCCAGCAATTCTACCTGCGAGAACCTGTCCTGCACACATGTTCACACGGTGTGCACGCATGCGGGCCCAGACACACAAGGCTGCTGCATTCACTGAGAACAGGAAGCAGCCCGAATGCCATCAGCAGGCCAAGTCCCCCACAGCTTGGGAGAGAAGCGAGGCACCCTCCTGCCTCTCCATAGCTCACAAGAACCACGTCCATTACCCTCGTGCTGGTGAGGCCCAAGGCAGCTGTAGAGCCTGGCGAGGGGCCGCAGGTCACGTGTGCACATGCGTGTGCACACACACACAGAGCCCCGCCGTGAGGGGTCTGGGGACGCAGAGGTCAGAGGGGCTGTTCCTCAGCGGTCCTTCTGTCCCCTGAGAAGCTTGTGCCAACAATGCAGGCAGGTCACCACCTCCACGGACACCCATGGTGTCGCCGCCCAGAGGAGCAGCCACAGCCCCAGTAGCCGCGAGCCCTGGCCAGGCCCTGCCACAGACCTGGGCTCGGTGAGGAGTGCACCCTGGGGACACAGGGGACAGATGGGCATTGACAAAGCTGCTGCTGCAGTTGGACGCACACGGCAACTGCTCTACTTCCACCCAAACTGACGCTGGGTTTCATGGCCTCGTATGTCAACAAGCCGTCTCCTGTGGGGTGCGCACGCCGTGTGACCCCTCTGATCCCCTGACACAGCCCAGGCCTGGCCGCTAACCGTGCGCCCCATGGCCGCTAACCGTGTGCCCCAGCCAGGCAGCACATCGGGGCCTTTCGGTGCTGTCGTCTGCTGTTCTGTGGACGTGCAGCTCAGCTGGGATCTGGGCAAGCACCTGCTGACACAGGTCCTTCCAGCAGGCAGCCCCCACCGCCGGGCAGCACGCGTGCGTGTGTCGTCTCCACCCAGTCACTTTCCAGGAAGAGAGCAGAGGCTGTGCTGGCTGCAGCCATGGCCTGGAGCCTCGGAAGCACAGCCCCACGGCAAAGGCACGAGGTGGGTGCTGTCCTTGTCCGTTGTCAGGGAGAAGGGATCCCGGGCACGAGGTGGGGGCCCAGGGCAGGCCTCAAGCTTTCCTGCAGAGGGCTCCACAGACCGTGAAATGGGTGGGTGGGCGTCCCACAGAGCCTGATTTACAGAAAGATCCTCACGTGTCCCAAACTGGGTTCTTCTTCCCACGTAAGCAGGAGGGTGAGCAGCATGGGGCTGGGGGGCTTGGAAGTGAAGCAACCTGACCCCCTGCTCCTCCGGGCCACATGGCCTCCACCGGACACAGAGGCAGGGAGAGAATCGCAGCCAGAGCTGGGAAGACCCCCGCCTGACACCCCAGCTCCCTCCAAAGCCCCGACGGACACTGACCTCCAGACACCTCCTTCTCTGCCTCCCCTTCCCGGGGAACCATGCCCACCGCCCACTGGCTCCCCGGGTGGGACAAGAGGAGAGGGCAAAGGTCGTGCCCCAGATGGCAGGAGATCTGGTCAGCCTCTTCCCTGCTCCCCCAGAGGCCCACCCTCAGGCCCCAGCACAGCCCCACAGCCAGTGCATCTGGCTGGGGCCCCGGGCTCTTTGGGCGTGTCCCGGCATTGGGGATTTGGTCACAGTGCCGTCCCTCCACATCAGGAAGCTCCAAAAGTCTGACTTCCTGGGCTCACTGGTCCACTGGTCAGTTCCCGGGAGACCCTCAGTGGCAAAGCCCCCCAGGGTCCACACACACATCAGGAGTTCCTTTCTGCACACTCACTGTGGGGTGGGGGCCGCCATCATGGCTGCCACCCTGGGGCCCTCACGTCTCCCCTGCCGCCCACTGCCCCCTCCCCAGAGCCATCGTCCAGAGCTCCCAGGACTTGGGGGGGGGGGGGGGCTGTGCGACCTGGCCACGCCCTCCCATGCGCCCTGGGGGCAGGGGCTGGGCCCACCTTGCTCTTCTCCTGCTGTAGCTCGATCTGGATGTCCGTGAGCTTGGCTCGCAGCTCCTCATTGGCGGCCTGCAGCGCGGTAAGAGCTTCCCCCTTGTCCCCCTTGGCCCGGCTGCCCGCGCCCTTCTTGGACATGTTGAGGCTGATGGCCAGAGGGATGTCCCAGGCACGGTGCTGCGTCTGGGCCGGGTGTCCAGGCCAAGCTCTCGGCAGGTGTGGCTGTGGCTGCTACTCGGCTACATCTTCTCGCTCACCTGGAGGAAAGCACACCTGGTGAGCAGACTGTACCGGGCAACCAGCCCCCCATGCAAGGCAGGGGCTCCCGTGCCTGTGGCAGGCCCCTCACCCACGCCCACCCCAGCATGGAGGACACAGCCCACTGTGTGGAACTGCTTCAGGCCACAGTGTCATCTGCCTCCGCCGTGCAGCGCCCCCTAGTGGGGCGCAGGCCCAGCGCATCCATTCTCTTCCCTTCTCTGGCCCCGAATGGCCGCACAGGCACCCAACTTCCAGCCCAGAATCACACTCAGGCGTGAGGCAGCACAGCGGAACGGTGGCCGTGAGCCACGGACATCGGCGGGGAGCAGAAGGCCACGACCCCAGCTCCTCCCAGGACCCAGCAAACTCTACGCAACTGAGAGAGGCTCACCCTCAGCCCAGCTGGGGTCTCCGTGGGCTCTTCCCTCCCACCAAGGCCGTGCAGGCCCGAGGAGCCTCTGCTGGGAAAGCGTGTCCAGAGGAGGAGGACCTCCATGCTTCGCTCCCCTCCTATTCGCGTGTAAAGAGACACCGTGGGGACGCCTGCGCCCTGGCTGGGTCCCGGCTCTCAGATGCCGAGAGTGGCCTGCAGTGAGGACACCCTGGCCCCTCCCCGCCACCATTGTCACTCTGACCAACAGCTTCCCGGGATCCCAAGCTCCGCCCCAGCCCCCACCCCGGTCAAGGCAGCTCTGGGCATGAACGGTTCCAGGGTATATGGGATGGTCAGGCCATGCCCCACTTCCTGTAGCCTGTCCATCACCAGGAGACGGAGCCAGGCTGGAGGAGACGCACAGGCCATGGAGGGCGAGACCCAGCTGCTGCGTCGCCCAGAAACCCCTCCTCAGTTTGCTGGGCCCTCAGCCACGTGGGGACTTGGCCAGCCCACGCCAAGTGGCCAACCTCGTACTCGGTCCTGGGCTGAGGGCACACCTTGTCCTGCAGTTGCCCACGAGGAGGAAACAGCCCTGGGGCCAGCTGGGGGCTGTCCAGCTGCACAGAGAAGGACAAGGTTAGAGGTCACGGCGGGGGGCACCATTCCCACAGGGACCACAGTCCATACTGCTGGATCCTCACACACAGGCTCAGTCCCGAGGGGTGAGATGGAGTCACACACAGCAGGCAGCACCATGGACAGCGAGTGGGGGCTGAGGGGTGGCAGCCGGGGACGGCACCGATAGCGACTGTTTCAGTGCCCACACGTTGCACTGCTCACGCAGTCAGCATTGAGAATTTGCGGAGTTGAATCTACCACAGGAGAAGAGTCCAGAACCTTCTGGGAAGGCCCAGCTGTGTCCAGCTTGGGAGGGGTCTCCAGGCCTTTCCCAGTACTCACAGGGTGTGTCCTCCTAGGGGTGGCCCAAGCGGCAGCTTTTTTGTTTCTTTCTAAAAGATGTGTTCATTTATTTGTAAGTCAGAGTTACAGAGAGGGAGAGACACACAGAGAGATCTTGCATCTGCTGGTTCACTCCCTAGATGGCCACCTGGCCAGGACTGGGTCAGGCTGAAGCTAGGAGCCAGGAGCTTCCTCCAGGTCTCCCTCATGGGTGCAGGGGTCCAGGCACTTGGGCCATCTTCCACTGCTTTCCACAGGCCAATAGCAGGGAGCTGGATTGGAAGAGGAGCAGCCAGGACTGGAATCAGCACCCATGTGAGACGCTGGCATCACAGGCGGTGGCGTTACGTGCTATGCCACAGCGCTGACCCTGAGGGGCAGCTTCTGCCGCCAACGTGAGGACAGGCCTGCTTCTGGGTCCTGGCGCTGCAGGAGCCGCTGAGGTAACAGCACACACCTGGCAGGCGGCCCCCGAGGAGGCGTAAACCACACTGCACTTCCCCATCCTCTCCTGAAGCCCTCGGTGGAGGCGCTGGGGCTGGTCCCGTTGTGAAGGGTCGGTGTGCACGGGCCTCGGGGTGCCCATGTGTCCCCCTGGGTTGAGCACCCTGGCAAGAGGCCGCGGGTGCTCCTGACCACGGGGCCAGTGTGATGAGGGCAGTTGGCCTCCAGTGCGTGCCCAGCATCTGGATCTGATGCTGCCATCGCTGGAGGACACTGAGAGGCCAGAGGGACCCCTCGGCACCACGTGTACTTCCGAGTGACCCGCGGGGAGATCCAGTCCACCCGGATTGTGGACACGGCCTTCGGGCCTTCCTTGCCATCTATCTGCAGAGAAGGTGACGGCTTGGGATTCGTCTCCACAGGAATCCGAGGCACAGGTGGAGGGGTCTGGGGAGGGCCACAGACCCCTGTGCAGCCCCACAGGGAGTGGAGGGCATGGCCCATGCTCAGGGCTGTGCTCCCCCAACGGGTCACAATCTGACAAAGGCCCGGCAGTGTGGCTCTGCCAGGCAGAAAGGACAGAGACGCGCAGCGTGGGGTCAGGCGGTGCTGTGCTGTGTCAGTGAGAAACAGCCGTCGAGGGTGTCACTGCACACGACTGAGGGGGGCCGCTCCGTATCTGCCCTGCACACCCGACTGCACCGTGGGCCTGCTTCCGTCAGGGTCACATGGTCCCCGAGACGCCTCAGAAAGCTGCGGTCGGCTCAGCACCACGAGCCCCGGCGGGGCTGCCCGGTCCCTACCGCTTGCCCTGGGCCGTGTATGAAGTACAGAGGGTCGAGAAGAACAAAGGCCCTGGCGGCAGAGGACTGACGCTCCCCACGCCAGGACCTCCGCAGGGGAGGTCAGCATGATGGGGGCACGGGGACAAGCACAGCCCACCGTCCGAGGAATGCGCCAGAGCTCGAGAAGAGCCCAGCAGCTGTGCAGCCGCTGACCTGCGACTGAGCGAAGACGGCCTCTTCACCTGACGGCGCAGTCCAGGGCCCGGCCCCAGGAAGACATCCAGCCCCTACTACAGGCAGCAAAGCATTTCCAAGGGACTGCGTGACCGGTGCAGTGATAACCCTCAGACAGCCCTCAGCCGAGGCAAAGCTTCCCTGAGCAGCACACAGACGGCGCCAACTGTGCACCCCGGGCTGCAGCAGGAGAGCCCCACGGCCGCCAGGGCCACTCCCGGGTGTCCCCTCCCTGGGGCTCACAGCTCTGCACCGCTGACGCTGAATGCTGAGGGCAGTGGCTTCTCTGTGTTGTGTCAGCTCTCACACTACTTCGCAAGCTCAGCAGGTGCTCTGTGCAACCAGACACACATTCAGCACTGCAAACCTCTTTTTCATTCTGCAGTTCAAGTTTAATGATGAGAATTCTGTTGGAGACAGTGAGAAAAGATGTGTGTGTCCTTTTGAGAACTATGTTAGCTTAAAACACACGGGGTTGGTGCTGGCGCCATGGCGCAGTAGGTCAATCCTCCACCTGTGGCGCTGGCATCCCATGTGGGTGCCGGTTCCAGTCCTGGCTGCCCCTCTTCCAGGCCAGCTCTCTGCTGTGGCCCGGGAGGGCAGTGGAGGATGCCCAGGTGCTTGGGCCCTGCACCCGCGTGGGAGACCAGGAGGAGCATCTGCTCCTGGCTTCGGATGAGCACAGCTCTGGCTGTTGCGGCCAGTTGGGGAGTAAACCAGTGAGGGAAGACCTCTCTGTCTCTCCCTCGCACTGTCTGTAACTCTACTCTCAAATAAATAAAAACCTAAAAAAAAAAAAAAAAAAGAAGAAGAAGAAACACACACACACACACACACACACACACACACACAGGGTGGGCGAGCAGGGTGTTGGTGGAAAGTTGAAATGGAACAGGACGAGCAACCACAGCACAGGGGGTCAGGGTCTGAGGCCCAGGGGCTCCATGGGACACAGGGGCTGCCACTCTGTGGATGACGGCCTGGCGCAGGCAGACCGGGGCCGACGCCACCCAGGTCTAGGGCTTTACTCCTGGAGCAACTCTCTAGGGAAAAGGGATCTTTCCCAGGATGGCACTGCAAACAGATCTGGACAGAACGTCCCGGGAGCCAGTGTTCCACTTATAGGTGCTACGGCACACATCCTGCCCCACCCAGAAAGGCCGGCCGTGCCAGAGGCGGGGCCAGTAGCTCCCAAGCGCAATGACACAATGACATGGCTGCTGACCTCTTCAAATTCTACTCTTTAGTTCAAGCTGGATTCTGTCTCAGGCTAGCACATCCTGTGTAGCTGTCATACAAAAGGTGCTTAGAGCTCTAAAGCGCTTGTACAGAAAGCGCTTTTACAAAAAACGTTGCTGCTGAGTGTGGGCACCGAGTCCTGGGGTGAAGACACCTGTCCGGCCCCCACATCCCAGATGCCTGGGTTTGAGTCCCGGCTGAGCTCCGACTCCGGCTTCCTGCTGACACACACCCTGGAAAGCAGCAGCCACGGCTCAAGTCCTTGGGTTCCTGCCCATCTACTCCTACAGAGACACGGATTGAGCTTCTGGCTCCTGGCTTTGGCCCTAGTCCACCCTTGACTGTTGTGGGCATTTGGTGAATGAACCAGCAGATGGAAGCTCTCTGTCTGCCTTTCTCTCTCTCAAACAATAAATTATTTTTTAAAATCACAAACATTGTTATTGTAAATCTAAAATATTCAGTATCATACCATTTGATCCATGAAAACCTAGAGTATTTCAAAATCACAAGGTCTCTCAAGAACACAAGTGTGCTGATCCAGCAGCAGAGGCCGGTCACCTTAGGGAGAGGGTGCTCGTGCTCTGAGCACCCAGGGACGGCCGGGAAATGCTCTGGGAGAGTGGACGGAGGCTTCCCAGCATGCCGGTGGTGACCCTGGGACCAGGCCACGGACACCACAAAGGGACCCTGTGAGAGGGAGGAGCAGAGGGACCTGTGGCTGGGGGGAGGGGCGGGGCTATCCTGGACGGTCAGGTGCCCAGTCCAACAGCAGGAGTCCTACAGAGAAGAGGACGTCTCCCTGCTGGGCCAGAGACACGCACCCGGAGGACCTGCTGCCCTGAGGATGGAAGGACGCGGTCCTGGACCAGAGTCTGACACCGGTGGATGCTGGGCACGGCCCCCGGCCAGCCAAGCGAGAAAACAGGGATTTCTTCAAAACTTGTCTCAAAGCTAC